GCCCAGTCCGCTGCGTGCCCAGTCTCCGCCAGCAGCTTCGTGCCCAGTCTTCGCCAGCAGCTGTATGCAGTCCTGCTGCGTGCATAGTCCTGCTGCGTGCCCAGTCCCCACCAGCAGCTGTATGCCCAGTCCTGCTGTGTGCCTGGTTCCCACCAGCAGCTTCGTGCCCAGTCTCGCTGCGTGCCCAGTCTCTGGCACGAGCTGTATGCCCAGTCCTGCTGGTGCCTGGTCCCCACCCGCAGCTGCGTGCTTCTGCGTGCCGATTAGATTCTTGCATGTGTCTTGTGCAGTCTTGGTGGGGCCACGCTGCGTCATTGTGACAATGTGTCTTTGTTGCACAGGTGACAAATGTCGATGATGAAGGCAACGAGCTGGGCTCCGGCATCATGGAGCTCACACAGACCGAGCTCATCCTGCACACCCGCAAACGCGACGCCGTGCGGTGGCCCTACCTCTGCCTGCGCCGCTATGGCTACGATTCCAACCTCTTCTCTTTCGAGAGCGGGCGGCGCTGCCAGACCGGGCAAGGTAAGCTCTGCTGCTACAGCCTGGACTGACCTCAAATCTGCATTTGGGTCACGGATCAGTTGTCTCAGCCTGTCCTGCTTTGACCAGAAATGAAAACTGCAGAGAGTACCTCAAGCATGTCACCAGTTTTACTGCTGATCTGTAAACAATAAAATGATCTTTTTCTTCACCTAACTTTGCATGGTCTTTTTAACATTGCGTATAAGAACAGTTTTAGCCTTTTTTAATTTCTTATGTTATAATAATCACTAAACCATTTATTATTTCATTATATCACCCAAAAATCATCAACATGAGGGGCGGAGCAGTGGCTTTGTGGCTGAGGATCTGCACCTATGGCTGGAAGGTTACTGGTTCAAATCCCGTGGCTGGTAGGGGAATCCTACTCCGTTGGGCCCCTGAGCAAGGCCCTTTACCCCAGCTGCCCCAGGGCATAAATGGCTGACTCTGCGTTCTGACCCCAAGCTTCTCTCCCCATCTGTGTGTCTCACGGAGTGCAAGCTGGGGTATGCGGAAAAAAGACAAATTTCTTATACAAGAAATTGTATATGGCCAATAAAGTGATCTTATCGTCATCTACCCCTTTTAATCCACGGCAGAACAAAGGCCTCACCAAGGCTGCTCCACAGATCCCCCTCTCCACCGCTTCATAGCTGTTTCACTCCAGCCTACTCTTTTATTGCACGTTCCCATCTTCCTTGCTGTACAGTGCCGTGATTTTTGGGATCCAGTTCAGTGAGGTAATGAGGGTTAAGCCCAGTGTTCGTGTGGCAGGGTTATGCCACCGTCTGTCTGTCGGTGCCCCATTGCAGAGACCAGTGTGTGAGGAGTTCTGGTTGTGTGTCCGCATGGCGTTATGAGTCCCATTGTCTCCCTGCAGGGATCTTTGCCTTCAAGTGCTCCCGTGCCGAGGAGATCTTCAATCTGCTGCAGGAGCTCATGCAGTGTAACAGCATCAATGTGGTGGAGGAGCCCGTCATCATCACTCACAACAGCCATGCCCCTGAGCTGGAGCTGCCGCGCACCCCTCAGACCCCCAGCAGTGAGTGGCCACTCCCACGCAGCATTCGTGGTGGGGCTTCGGTATCGCTTCAGAATCCCTTCCCGTTTTCTATTCTGGCTTTCTCGACTTTCTCTGATTTTAAAAAGGAACGAAGAATGTGCCTTCCTGTCCCAGCAGATTTAGTTGTCCTTGAGCAGTGAGGTTGGTTGCTGTCCGGAGATTAGTGCTTTTTGCTTCCACTAACAAGTAGAAAAGCAATAGCTTGTCACAGTACACTGTTCTGGACAGAGGCAGTGTGGTTAAAAGCTTTAAAATTAGGGCCATTTCTTAACTCTTCTGTTTATTTCTTTTCTCCCTTGTGCTTAATATAGCTTTGATGTGCATGGCATATCTTCTCCACTGGGGGGCACAGTAGCCTCTCTGTGGTCAGGGACAGTGCAAATTCTCATACCAGGCATTCAGTCTTTAATCCCAATGTGATGATGAAGGAAAGACACTGAGCTCTGTGGCATTCCTCGCCCTGAAGTTTTTGTAGCTAGTTCATAAGTGTTCAGAGAAACCAGGAAGAGAAGTGAAAAAAGACTGTGACAGAATGTGTACTAATGGAGGAACTAAGGTATATAGTAGATAGCTTTTTTCAGATGAGTCAGAGCATAATCTATGTGAATTAATATGGATGAAGTAAATGTGCTGAAGGATGTGATAAACTGAAAAATGTGACAGCGATTCTCTTTATTTTTCTTATGTGCAGGGATGCTAAGTCTGTATTTCCATGTTACAGTATAGGTGCCAGATAAAACTGGGAAACTATCCCATCCTGATTGTGCAAACCTGTCCTTAGTGAGTCTGGAAGCCTGTCTGTAACCTCTTGCTGTCTTTTGGATGGCAGCTCCAGCATACACAGTTCAGGGATTCCCCAACGGATACCCAGGGTACCCTGTCAGCGCAGATGGCTCGTCTCACCCGTCCACCCGGCACCCCTCGCTTGCTGAGGACCACGCCCACGGCTTCATGGGGCTGGAGGACCAGGTGAGCAGCACTGGCACTCAGTTGGGACCTTGGCTCTCCTTCACATGAACATCTCTCCTTATGGAAATGAGACTGTGACAAACGTAGGCTGTACTGACAAATCCTGGCTGGGGCCCTGGTACCGTACTCTTGAGCACTGTACTTCACTTAGGTTGCTGTATTTAATGTGCTGGTATATATTGACCTCTCTCCAGGCTGGAATTGTAAATAAGAATTTGTTCTCTTAAATAACTAGTGAAGACCACAGACAGTGTGCATTTTAATCTGCCTAGTCGAACCTGTCCAGTGGAATATTGTTGGTTGTGCTTAAGGCTGAACAGACAATAGAACCAAAAAATGATTTCGTTATTTATGGCTGGGTAAGGAATCACTGCACATCCTCAACTGTAATTGTAATGAATTCTTTGAATTATTATAGCACCTTTTATCCATGAAGATCCCAAAGTGTTGGACATATAATGCTTATGTTATATGAACTAGTGAATGTGCTGTGATATACTTAATGATGGAAATGTGGCCATGACAAGATCAAACCGAGTGTTAAAAAGGTGTTTTTCTAAATTGAATTTATTAAAGGAAAAGGTTTCTAAAATCAAAGCATTGAGCAGAGTTTTAAAGAACTGTCCATCTTAGGAGTGCTTAGTGCAAAAGTGATTCCCTGCTTTGTACAGGTAATAAAGACTGCCCACTTCTAATGAACTGAAACTTTGTATTAATGCTTGCCTGTATAAGTACAACTTTTTACTTAGGTCCAACAGCATTTATTGAACTGCGGAAACAAAGTAATACAGTAAGAAACAAGAAAAATGTATTAAAATAATTTTAAAAAATCACAAACCAAATGAATTAGTATAATTAGTCTGCATTCGTTGAATGTGTAGTGTGAAGGTGGCTGTACTCGTTAACGTGAAGAGTGTAACGAGGTGGCTGTGCAGTCAGTGTACCGGATTCAGCTTCTCCCTTGTCTCCCTCAGGCCCACACCTATGTGAACACTGCCAGCGTGGAAGGAGATGTCAGGGGCCGGCACTGTGTCCACTCTTTACCCGAGGTCCGGCCAAACCCCTACCCCGAGAGCGCTCGGGGGGGAGGTGGGGGGCCAGGGGGTCACCCTGTGATCCACTGCTGCCCCCTGGAAGAGCGAAACCCCCAGGTGTTCCTGCAGCCACCTTCAGGGGAGGTGAAGTTTGTGCTGGGACCCACACCGGCCCAGCGCAGGCTCATGGACATGGAGAGGGAGGCGCTGGGAAAGCAGGTCCACATGCGCCACCCGCACGGCCACCTGACGCTGGAGGGGGTAGGCGGGGGTGGCTCGGAGCATGAGGGAGGAGGGGGCCCCCCGCCCCTGCCTCCCCCACACTCCCACGCCGCCCACTCCTATCACCACCACCACCTGCTGCATCGCCATGGTAGTGCTGCGGGCGAGCACGAGGAGGGCTGTCAGGCTGTGCGGCTGGCCTACGAGAACATCAACGGGCTGGGAGGCGGGCGCGGCGGTGAGCTGCGCAGGGGGGGCGGGAGCGGGCGGCTGAAGCTGTGCCCGGGCAGCGTCTCCCTCTCGGGAGGGTCGAGCAGTAGCAGCAGTGGGGGGGAGGGCCACTGTCACTCTCGCGCTCTGCCACACTCCCACTCCCTGCCTCATGCCCTCCCACACGCCCTGCCTGCCCAGGGCTATAGCTGCGAAAGAGCAGGAGGGGGAGTGGGCAGCGGGCACCGTAAGACGGCGCTGCTGAACTACGAGAACCTGCCCTCACTGCCGCCAGTGTGGGAGTACCGCGCCCTGCAGCGAGAGGAGGAGCAGGATGAGGAGGACGACGAGCAGGATGAGGAGGACTATGAGGAGGAGGAGTATGACGAGTACTCGGAGGACCCCGGAACGCCCAACGGATACCACCAGGATGGAGGAGGGGATGGACGCGATGTCATGCGCAACTATGTTAACACCGAGCGTGTGCAGCCGGGCGTCCGCAGGCCGGCGTGCCCCCCAAGGGGGCAGCACAGAGCCGACTGCCATGTAGGGGGTGGCGGCGGAGTCTTCAGCTTTGACTTCCGCAGAGGAGGCGGGGTCGGGCGTGACCTCTCCCAGCAGCGGCAGCTCAACTACATCCAAGTGGATCTGGATGGGGATTCGGAGTGTGGGAACCCCCAGCAGCAGCATCAAAAGCCTGTGCCCATTGGCACTTCCCAGCCACCCCGGCACAGTGAGTTCTATGCCGTGATCGATCTGAAGAAGACGGCAGCTATGTCCAGCCTGCAGAGGGCACTGCCCCGCGATGACGGCACCTCCCGAAAGACCAGGCACAACAGCACCGATCTGCCGCTGTGAGGAGAGAGAGAAAGGGAGGAGGAGAGGTTGAGAGGTCAGATGGGCTACACTTGTTTCCTGTCTCCGAGCCTCTCCAGATTTCCCCTCAATAGGTCACCTCCTTTTCCCCCTCATCCAGAGCCTGTTTTTCCCATCTGTTTCCTGCTCATCCTCTTCCTTGATTCATCCCCCTGTGTGTCCCTCTGTGAGTGTGGGAACGAGGGGCTCTGTGTATCTGTGGCCCTGTTGAGGCAGTTGGACTGAGCTGCCTGTGACTGAGACACTTGGATGGCAGGAAATCGGATGAAACTAATAAATAAATTTGGAACTTCTTAAGGGTTCGGCTGAAACTAGCTGGCCCACGGAAGATTTGCATCTGGTAAGACACATTTTTTTGCATGGCAGCAGCTCCTGGAAAAAAGTCTTGCCAGCTGCCAGGGCTTTGGCAGGGCAGGTTCCTCAGCTGGCAGGGTTGCAGGCGCTGTGAATTGTGATTGATGCACCTTCCATCAAGACTTGCACATTTCGCAAGATGCAGTTTCCTCTTTTCATTCGTCCTTTTTGAGCAGGGGGTTTCCTGCAATCAGTGTCCCTTTCTTTCAGCCATAGGGTGGTTCCGTCTCAGACAGTGAGCTGAGGAGGCCCCATTTGGTGCCTTTTAAGGTGCCATAAATTTCTGATAATATTATTTCAAAGTGTCTGAAACTAGATTTTAGAAGTCTTTTATTTCCACCTTATCTTTTATGTAAACTAAAACTTCACACCATGAAACAGACGGTGCAAAGTATTTCTGTCTTGAGTGATTGCACATTCAGGATGTATTTATTGGCCTCATACTTTTGAAAATATAAAACTATGACACAGACTTTATGCAGGGAACGTGGTTATTCCGGTGTAAAGGAAAAAGTTGTGTGTGCCAAAAGAAGGGGCATAGGCTTCTTTAACAAAACCAAATTGATCATAGAGGCACCATGAAGAGTGAAGGGCCTTTTTAATTAACCTCACAGAAATGACCCTCATATAGTGCCACTGCCTGAGGTGGAGCAAATGGAGTTTAGAGCTGGGTTGCACATGTTTACACTGAGTGGGAGCTGCTGTCCTGTGGCTGATGGTGCCGCAAAAAGGGTAAACAAACATACAGTTAACAAATACGCATTGAATTGTAAATGCGGGTCCTGTAGTCTGGAATTTGACCTGGGTCCAGCCCCAAGCTCTGCAGAGGAATATGGTCCTGCATCAGAGCCAGGTTGTTGGACACAGTCTTTTAAATTTCCGAACCCCGATGTAAACTCTGGGCAGTTCTCTCAGGCACATAGAGATGTAACAAAAGAAAAGAGGATTCTGCATCTTATGCCATTAGTTACCACACAACTCAAGCTGATAGCACCATTTCATTATTAGAAGCTACTAAAAGGAAAGGCATTTATGCATGTCTTTTCTCTGAAGGTGCCAAATCTATTTACTGTACACAGTATGTAAGTATGTTGAATCCATGTGCCATTATATAGTATTGGGATGTGAGGGCTAAGCATCGAATCCAAAAAGAGAGAATAAGTCTCAACTGTGAATGAGGGTTTTCCTTCTTTCAAATCAATAGCGTTTCAATTTGTTTCAAATCCCTGTTGAGCCTTGGGGCATCAGGAATGTTGCAGGACCTGATGCCTCTCTCAGGGCAGGAGGGTTGTGTAGGAATCCAAGTCTGGAACAGGCAGGGGTGATTTCTGAAGGGCAATATCCATAATGCACAACACTCGTGTTATCAAGTGAAATGTTACTTTCTCTGCGGTTTTTCTTGGCCTTTAGGTTTAGAGCAAATTGAACTGTTTTAGGAAAATAATGAAATAGGAATTAATTATAAATGTATAGATTGTATATTTTTTCAGAGGAACTTTAAGATCAATTATTTAGAAAACAGGAATTCAGCTTTAGTTTAGAGCTTTATTGTAACAGCTTAGTGCCAGGTTCTTATCAGGGTGGCTCTGATGACCCCAGTGATCTTAATCCGGGTTCCTGTTGGATTTCTATAAGCCCATCTTGCCAATGGTATGTGTGACCTTTGGCTTGTATGTTCCCCTGAGTGACAGAGCATGAGATTGCTCTGTTTGTCCCCCCCCACACCTCATCAGGAGAGCCACTATCCACATCAGCACTGAAACCCATGCGCTGAACCCCCCCCCCGTCACACTGCACAGTGACTGGCTTTCCACACCCATCGTTGTGCCATTGAGATGCAGCAGCTATGCAGAGTGCTTAATTTCTGGAGTTTGCCATTTTTTTCAGCATTTTATCAGATTCATACAGTTTGGGGAAAGTTACTTTTATAAGAGATTACTTTTAAAGTGATCAAGAAGTTAGGTGAAAAAAGTATCTGTGTACTGTGTGTCCAGTTATTTGTAAAGTAATGTATTAATTCTTAAAAGCAGTTTCCCTCAGTTTTTTTAGCATATGAAAAAAGAAATCCTGTACACTAGTAACTTGTAAGTGTAAAGGTAGTGCTTTTTAAACTAACTTTTGCCAAAATTGGATTCACAATGGTGACTAGAAACCTGTAACTTTTTCATTTGTCATCCTAGATCTCCAGAGTACAGCATGGGAGGTCCAGAAAGAAGCACTTCAGTAAACTAGGTCTCAGTGCCTGGGCTCTGGAGTGGAAGGTTCTTGAGGATAGCAATCTTTTTGAAAGAAAGATCTGCAGCAGTGTTTAGGAATGGCTGGGATCGTGGTGAAAGGACAGGAGTGCTTTCTATGAAACTAGCACAAAGCAGCCTTATAACCCCAAAGATTGTGACTGAATGGCAAGCTTTATGGAGGGCAGGGTGGCTGTGCTTCTGCAGGAAACCAGCCTTCCCTGTGTCACCCTGTGTGTTCTTTCTTAGCCTGGGAGCTGAGCTTGGGAAGTCTGTACAGACATGTACATATACATATGTATATCTGTTTGTATACATACTAACACACAGTGGCATGTCTGCTGCTATGAATGTCTGAATACATTTGCAAATTAGGCCAAAAGTAAGAAAAATGAGTTATTGCAATTTAAAAGTTTTAGTTTAAAACTGAGTCAGTTGTTCCAGCTTTGCTCTCCAGCTGAGAAAACTCAGGGCCCATTCTTTGCCTTCACATATCACTGTTCTGTGCCATAGCAAATAGGTGCCAAGGCATTGCCCTGTCCCCAGGGTGCTGGATTGGTATGGGAGGAGGGGGATGACTTGTCTTGACACAGAGGGGACATGTGTGTGCTGATGAAAGAGACCTTTGATCTCAGAGGGTGAATCACAAAATGCTTTTCGCTCATCCTCTGCCATGATGCCCGTGTGAGCATCAGTGCTTTCTTTCCAGTGCAGTTGACCCTGGGGATTAAAGTTCACTTCATCACCTCTCAAAGTGCCAAGGTGTTACTGGGTACTGTAAGCAACACCTTATGTGTTAAAATTGTATTTTCATTTGCTCTTAAACTTTTCCTTTGCCAAGCAGTGACTGTTTCTCAGTCGCAGGCTCTCGAATGATCCGTGTCTCATGTGGGATGAAGGGGCAGGGTGCCTTGGTGCACCCTGGTGTGTGATGCTGGGAAATGTGTTGTGGCTGGGGGGCTGACAACGGTGTAGCCAGCACCCTCTTTATCAGTGAGCAGGGTGAGCTCACACAGGACTGATCGTGCTTAGGCCTGCCTCCTGTAAAGGTCACATAACACTTTTTTCATTTCTGGATGACTTCATTTGCACAAAGCTGATGCCTGCCTGCCTTCATGCTATAATATTTCTCCCTCTCCCTCCCATCCCACCACCTCCCAGGAGACATTTAAAAAACAGGAAACACGAAAACACGCAGAACTCCATTAGATGAGTCTATTTTTTTGTGATCTGTGAAGTTAACAGAAAATGTATCAAGCTTCATATGTTTAATCTCTGTGATGTGTTTTCATGAGCCTGCTCGTGGGATGTGATGTTTTGTTTGGGGTGGGACAGAAAGAGGCTGTGCCAAATTTACTTCCTCATTCCATTTTGCCTAACATTGTAAGGTGTTTACAGGAAGTGACTTGCTTTCTGAAAAATGGGAATCTGTTCCCTGTGCTGAGAATGGTTCGGGTGTTGCTGTGCATTCAACCTAGGATCACAACCAGACACACCTCCTTTCTGAAGGAGTTCTCTGTTCTCCCATCTCTGTCTGTCAATGGCTGCTTCGCCTGGTAGCAGATATTCCCAGTTTTTCAATTTGTTTTAGGAACATTCCATTAGGAGGTTTTAGTGGCCTTTATTGCCTTTGGGATAAGTGTTGCCTGCTGTCTTTGGCTGTTACTTTGATGATTATGCAAACCTTTGAGAAACAAGGCTTGTACAGTATACATTTTATGTTATGCAATACTTTTGCAGTTTTTAAAGGTTTTATTTAATGATGATTTAATAACTATTGTAATCCAAAATGGATTTAATTTGTAACTTTTTTCCCAGAGTGGAAAATGTATAAATGCCGTGTGTGTCAGTCTGTCTCCTTCCCTGTTGCTTGTACGGGGATCTTTCAGAAATGTGTTTTAATTTTAGGAGCATGGGTGTTTCTTCTTCATATTCCAGATTGGGGATATTTGGTACCAGTGTTGCCTCCATGTTTTTGTAATTATTTAAGTTCTTGCTACCACCCCATCAACCCCCACCCCCCTGTGTGCAGGTAGGTTAACACTACGCAATTTTGGAAGACTGCTCTGTCGGATGGTTAATGTTTACAGTCCCATTTCCCCTTGCTCTGTCTTGTGCATGCACTTGACTTTCCGTTGCTTATACAGTATATATATATTTTTAAACATTTTTTGTTTGTACAGTTGCATGTTCTTGTTGGTACTGAATTGTTTGTTAGCTGTACATATTTGCTTGTGTACTTGTCTGTTTTGTCGGTCTGTCCTTCAGTCACTACTATTGTGGGAACATTCTTTAACCTAAGGCAAGTCTTAAATCGTCAGAATCCTTTGGGTGTCCGCGGGGGGACTGAGAGCTCTCAGGGTGTCATGCACCACAATGTCAAAAACCTCTTTGAATGTATCTGAGGGGCAGCTGGGAGAAAGAGCTCGAGTCCGGCCCACTGAGAGTCCTGGCTCTGTTCTCTCCAAGTGAACTAAGCTCCTGAGCAGTGCAGTGTGCACTCTGGTGGTCATATTGCCTAGAAAGAAAAAGCAAAATTTAGTTATACGTTGATTTTAAATCCATTTAGAATAGTAATGGAGTTTGGGCCAAAAAGCAAGAACACTAGCAGGACCAGTGGATTTGGAAGGGCATTAGTCTAAAAGCTTATGCATGTGGGTTCTGTGTAAAACACTGTTAAGTGTACAAGTGCATTTGAGGTTAATCAAAAGCTTAAATGTTAGAGGAAAAAATACTAACTGAGTCAGTTTCTTGTTTTTCTTGATTCGACAATTAGTGGAAAATTTTGTAGTTCATTTACTTTTCTCTGTGAATGTCTTTCATTTTGACCACCTAACAAAAAGTCAAGAAACATCGTTATCAGCATTCTCCTAAGGGTGTTGCGATGGCTTCTTTGGAGAGAGTTGTATCCAGAGGATTGTGGTTCTCAGTTGGTACTGGAAAACAGCATTTACCAAGCCTGTGCCCTGTTCTCCTCCCACTGACTCTGTCGTGCCACTTGCCCAGCGTGAGTGCACCTTGATAATCTGTACTTGCCAACTATTCTGTGGGCATAGCTTCAGTAGACAAAAATGCTTTTTTAAAACGATGTGCCATCTTGCTGCTTCAGTCTTAAAATTTTTTGTTTGAGTGTGAAGTGTTGGCAAGTACGAGTTGACTTTGTATTACCTTTATTTCGGAGATGTCTTCTGTTTTTGTATTTCTTTGGGTACTTCAGTAGAATTTTGTGGTGTAGATTTGTGTTAGACCCTTTGTATGAGGTGTAAGCCCTTGCAGATTCCTGGAGCAAAAGTTTGCCAACCCACCTGTGGGGAACCATGTGATATAGCAACAGCAGCAGTCCAGCTGGATGTGGTAAAGAAACAGCTGCACCAAGCAGACTGCATGTTTTTATCTATGATGTTTTATATTTGAAAATGCACTGAGTTCATGTTGTCAGACATACAACACTAAGGAATACAAAACAGTGGCTTATGCTGTTGATAGCTGGATAGGAAAATGCGTAGTGTTTGCTATATTCTGTAGGGAGCAGCATGGTGGCAGAGTGGTTAGTCTTGCTGTCTTGCAGCACTGGGTCCCTGGGTTCAGTTCTGGAGTTGGAGTGCTATCTGCGTGGAGTTGGTAAGTTCTTCCCTGTGTTCACATGGGTTTCCTCTGCGTGCTCCAATTTCCTCCCACAGTCCAGAGACATAGTATTAGAGGTTAACTGGCTTCTGGAAAAATTGGCCATGATGTGAGTGTGTGCATGTTTGTGTCAGCCCTGTGATGGACTCATGTCCTGTCTGGGATGTACCCTGCCTTGTGCCCGTTGCTTGCTGGGATGGGCTGTAGCTCCTCCGTGTCCCTGTATTGGGGAAAAAGCAGTTAGAAAATGGGTGGATAGTCATACAGGGGTCGGAATTGGTTTGGTCTTAGCTGCTCTTGTTCAGCAGAGTTGTTTTTGTATGGTTTGTGCTTGATGATGTACGTGTAAGAGGCCAGGTACTATTCAGAGAAAATCTTGCGCGTTGTTCTGTGGGCAGGTGTGCCGAGTTTCTAAAAAAGACAAAAGTGTTGTGTTTTGAATTAATTCAACATGGATTACATAGTTGTTTTGGATAACTACATTTGTATTTAATTCAAAGGTATTTAAAAATATTTTTTTAAAAAGAGACTGTTGTATTCCCACTATTCATAACTTCAGTATCTGTTCATAACTTCAAAGTCACATTGAATGTAAATGATAACCTAGCGTGTTTGTGATGTGATAAAAGAGAACTTGATTAGATGTTTACATTCAAAAAATGTTCTTGGAAAATGCAGATTATATAACATTCTAGATAAAAGGAAAGCAATCTTGTGCAATATTATATTTTTTTAATAAGGGTAATTTGTTGCAGGTCATATCTTCGATGCATTTTCCTCAAACAGTGCATAATTAGTGACTGAGGTCGCCAGGAAGAACTTTAAATTCATTGTTCGCGGGATTTGAGGTTGTTGACAAAAGCAAGTTTCTTTATTTTCTCTTGACACTTAAAAAGTAGTTTTAATGAGGTTTTCTAAAACATTCGCTTTGATGTTTTTTTTAACCCCGTGCCTCAGCCAGCATAGTTTTGTACGAATGCGTTTGGGGGAATTTCGTCGGTCCGGGGTGCGAGTCAGTGGAACTTGACTGCAGTCCTGCCCTGCTGAAGGGGTTTCGAAAGGCAGCAGGCATCTGAGGTCAAAAAAGTTGAGCAAAAGCAGTTCAAAGAAAGATGTGCAATTTTGAGGGTCTATGCCGCATTAGAAGTTGAGGGAAATAGGCAGCTGTTTGTTTAAAGGGGCTGCGTTCTGGATGCTGGAAGGGGTTACACCTCCGTACTCCTTTTTGTTCACCCTCAGCAAACACTAGAAATTACTTGTTCTTTACTGTATTGTAACTTTAGCACCGGTACTTGTTTGATATTATATATATGAAATATTGAATATTTATAGAAATGTTCCAAGTTGTTAAGCTGGAAATTCCCATTGAGGGATTGCGAGATTTTTTTATTTTGTATTTTTTTCTCGATGTTTCTGTTTTATGGAAATCAGATAATTGTATTATAATATACATATATAAATATATACACAGTAATTGTTTTAGTTTGGAGCTAGCCTCATTTCATAGCTGTTTCTACTTTCCATATGGAACCGTATTCAAGCAAAGCCAGACCAGTGAAATATGGACAGGAATGCTGTATCATAATTATTGTGCACTGAAAAATATATTGAATAAAGACAAAAAATACAGTACAATGTTTTGTCTCTTATTTTGTAAACTGTAAACAGTAATATTTTAATACATTTTTTGTTCTGGAGTAAAACCGGCGTTTGATTTCACAAAAGCACCTGAAGTTTTAAAACCTAGAAAGAGTTCTGTCTAAAAGAAAATACTTCTTGGATCTTTGAACATTTTCATTTTAATTCTTTCTAGATTTGATGCTAGATTCATGAACACAGGGTTGACTGCTGCCACCCATATTTTAATCAAACCCACTTGAGCACAGTTCTGTCACATGGAGCTCTCATTCCTTTTCTGAAGGATAAATGTTTCTCAGTTTTTTTATTGCAAAATTTAGTCATCTTAATTACTAATTTAATTTTTTTAATTAAAATTTAATTGCGTTTTTGTAACTGACAGTGCACCAAATACTCTCATATATACCAATTTACCAAAAAATTTGAAAATAGCTGTAATAGCTGGTCTGTCCTCCAGCTGTGCTTATAGCTGCAACACATCAGTTCCATGAGAACTGATAGAGCTGGACAGAGATGCGAGTCATGTTGCCTCCTGTTGCCTGAACTGTATTTTCGTCTGGTGATTATTTCTCAAAGCTCCCTGTCAACTTTTGAGGCTGTCTACAATGGAATACTATGCAGGTCTGCTTTTGCCATCAGTGGTGCACCAGACACTTACACTGATCCTTTTCCGCAGATCTGGTCTACGTTGGACAGGTCCCTTCTGGAATATGCCAATATTTGATAGCCAATTTTTATTCACAGATATTTCTCTAACATGATATTGTTCTTATAATATCTTTTCCCACTTTTTGCTATCATTAACGAGTGTTTCCATTTCATATCGATGGTTTTATCTTGCATTACAGTCCATTAATAAGGAGCTATCAGGTAGTCAATAAAGGCAGGCATTGAGTGTGTGTACATACAGTGTGACCTCGAGAGTTCTGCACTGTTTAGGGGAAAAACAATGGGCGTTGGAAAAAGTGAAGATTGTGGGTTTGTGAGTATCTCTGCTCTAATGGGTAACAGCTGATAAGATATGGCTGGTGGTGTTGGGTATATAACAGTGTTCCGAGTCCAGTTTTGGTTTATCCGCTGAAGCAGTTGGACCATACAGGACTAACGATGAAGTGGCTGATTGTTGCTCTGGCCTGCTTGACCCTTTCTGAGGGACTTGTCAGGTAAGACATCTGCTTTTTTACTGTGAATATAATGTTGTAGTGTTTAGTTTAAGCTTTGTATTTCAGTCTAGTGTCTGTATATGCATGTGCTAACTATATCCATGAAACCAAGTTTACACTTAGTTTTGGTATATAACTTAGTACATAACATTTTTTCCTATGCCAGCAGTAATGCAGTGCCCTTCTGGTGGAAATATATTTAGTCAAGGGCTAAAGTGAATGTAGATCTACCTAGCAGATGTTACAAGCTAGAGGCCAGCCTGTTTGAAGTGATCTAATTTGGAAATTATTTGGAAATCTTGTTCAGTCATTTCTAGCAATGGCTGTAGTAGTAATAGGATTTCCTACTTTGTCAGGAGGTGTTAACAGCCTGAACAAAGCCATTGAATCATCTCTATGTCATGTGAGAGACGAAGGAAATGGAGGTTGAAATTGATTTTGTAGCTGTAGACATTAATTCATGCATTGATTCCTAGTTATCATCTGCTGAGTGAGGTAGTAACTCTTTCCCCTAATTCCTTCCTTTCAGAATCCCTCTGAAGAGGTTCAAGTCGATCCGTGAGCAGATGAGAGAGAGTGGAAAGTATCTCCCCTACTCTGACCCGGGTCTGAAGTACCAGCACTATTACTCCTATGCCACCTCTGCCAACGAGCCCCTTGCCAACTATGCTGATGTGAGTCCCAGCCCTGCTTGTATGGCCACTGAATCCCTGTAAACGCTTGAACAGGTCAAAAATTAGAAGTTCATTTTCAGTGACAACTAGAAGACACTCTGGTCCTTGAGCTATAGATTTAAAGAGCTTTGTTACAGATTTCTACTCAAGACTAATAGCAAACATTATTAAAATAATTTAAATATTGATATAATTTGTCATATTGCTATTCATGATATTTCATCTTTGAAAGCACCTGACAGGCTGATGTAAGGTAGACAAGAGGAAAGGTGAATTTGTGCGTGTACTGTAGCTCAGGTGCTCCTGCCCTGCTGTAATGGAAGTCCTGTCTCTGTGCTGTTTATCCCAGATGTCATACTATGGAGCCATCAGCATTGGCACCCCCCCTCAGTCCTTCTATGTCCTGTTTGATACTGGATCATCCAACCTGTGGGTGGCCTCTGTGTACTGCAACAGCCAAGCTTGCAGTGAGTACTGGGGCTACATGCTGTCCTCCACAGCAGTGCTCTCTCATGTTTCAAGACTGACCTCCCATCATTTCCCTTATCTTCACTTTGATGTTCCTTTCCTAATTGTTATCCACTGTTGTGTCGTGTGCATTTGCTAAATATGAAACGAGCTGACATCACCTTCTGTGTTTTCAGCAAACCATCCCACCTTTGACCCTTCTAAGTCCTCCACATATTCCAGCACTGGGCAGACGTTCTCCCTGCAGTATGGTACTGGGAGTCTCACTGGTGTGTTTGGCTATGACACTGTCTATGTAAGTGTGCTCCTTCCTCGCTGCCCACTGCTCTTCACCAAGAGTCAACTCAGCCCAGTATTCCTAGGCTAAAGCATAACCCTAACCTAGAACCGCACAAAAATATATTTCTACATCCTCAATACTTAAATGAAGGCTACTATTTTGGTTAATTCCCCACTGCTCAGAAATTTAAAGATTATAAGTGTGACTGATGTAATGGAGAAAGAAAGCACCAGAAAAATAATGGATATGAGATATGAGATTAAAATAGATATTTAAAAGTATTTATGCAATTGAAATTAAACAATTAAACTAAAGTTTGAGATCAACAAAAATGAGGGGACTTCTTTTGTTAACTCCCATGTGTCGTTTCGTGAATATTTAGTCTTATTTTCATATGTCCTGTATACACACTGACTCCTGAGTTCTCATTTGCCCTCCACCTTTCAGATTCAGGACATTGCCATCACCAACCAGGAGGTGGGCCTGAGCACCAACGAGCCTGGTACCAACTTTGTGTACGCCCAGTTCGACGGCATCCTGGGCCTGGCGTACCCCCAGCTGTCAGCCGGGGGAGAGACCCCTGTGATGGACACCATGATGCAGGAGCACCTGCTGCAGTACAACCTCTTTGCCTTCTACCTCAGCAGGTGTGCCCTCCTGGGACCGGAGAAGTTTATCGTCTGTTTTGCAATTGTCTGTCCACATGATTGTTGAATGTTTCTACTTCGCTTTCCACATGAGCCTGAGCTGATGTATGCCCTGTTATAGGGCACTACAGCTAAAGTTTTTTCACATTATATAATCTGCAAATGGTTATGTATATTTAGGGCACATAACAGACAACCTAAAGTTTATAATCTCATCAGGTAGGTCACATTTTCTTGATCATCTGTGTCTCTCATTGTGCTGTCCTGCAGGGATGAGCAGCAGGGTAGTGAGGTGACGTTTGGAGGTGTGGACTCGAGCAGATACAGTGGTCAAATCTACTGGGCTCCAGTGACCCAAGACCTGTACTGGCAGATCGCTATTGATGGGTAAGTTCTCTTTACTCTGACTCTTTATTTGCTCCATGAAGGTATCTTACCATCACTAGAAAGGCTAAAATAATAACACATTAGTTCAACAGACTGTAAAAGATTATCAGAAAGGCGCTGACTCCTGAAGAGGGTTGTGGTGACTCATGGCTGGTCCCAGGAGCTTGGGAGTGAGGCTGGACTACACTGTGGAAAGGACACCAGTGCAGTGCAGGAAACACACACAAGCACACATATATAAAACAGAAAAATTCAAAGTCACAAAATCTGACAGTAATCTATATCCTGCCACTAAAACTGCCAGATTAGCATCCTGAACCATTTATGTTTACATTTGAACTTTTTAATTACACAGTTGGAGCAGAAACAGATGCTGTGTATTTATCAGTATGATCCTTATTATTTATTGTGTTGCGGGAGTGTTTTAACCCAGTTTCTGTTCATTACAGATTCCAGATCAACAACCAGGAGACTGGGTGGTGCAGTCAGGGCTGCCAGGCCATCGTGGACACAGGCACCTCTCTTCTTACCTGCCCTCAGCAATACCTGGGCTACCTGCAGCAGTACATTGGTGCTCAGGCCAACCAGAATGGGGAGGTAAGAACAGTCCAGAATCCTGGATGTGCAGCACTGATGTTAGGGGCCAAAACCAGACTCTATTTGCATAGAACCCCAGCTAAAATTAACTAAGTAAAATAAAGTAAAATAACTTTACTCTAAATTGAAAGAATGGTTGCCACAGTTGCATAAAGGCTGCATGTGTTTCATGGATGGGGTTGTCCAATATTCAAGGATAAATAAGGCTCAAATTAAATAAACTTAATTAAAAACTAACATCAAGAATAATGTCTACCCAGTATTCCTTGATAACAGTTACATTCTCACAATATAGAAGAGCATTTACATATAGTCTCTGATAAAGTACTTTGGGTTAAGTCTGAAAAGTGATGTTGGCATAATTAAGTCAGTTAAGTCAATTAAGTTGTTAATTCAGCCAGTCCTTTTCTTGTTGAGAGTTTACCTAAACAAGGCTTACCTGGAATAGACGCTCATCAAGTTGCTTTATTTCTTGGGTTTTTTGCACCCTCTCGTGGCTTTAACCAGCATTGCACTTTTTTTGAGGCCGACTCGCAACAACTATAAGTTTTCGTGCACAGATTCCCAGTGTCTTCTTAAACTACTGACAGCTTAGGCCATCTGTGCCAGCAGCTGTGAGTAATATGGATAGGGCAGCAACAGCCACTCTGCAATGTGATTAGAATGGATAGGAGATGCATGAGGGTATCTTTTGTGCTGTTGTCAGTCTTACAGTAACATTCTCAACTCTGTTCTCTCTGCTTTCCAGTACATCATCAATTGCAACAACCTGTCTAACATGCCCACTATCTCCTTCACCATCAATGGAGTGAACTTTGCCCTCCCTCCCTCTGCCTACACCATTGTGGTAAGTCGTCTTTGCTGTCTGCAGAGTCTTTTATTTACTTGATATTATATTTCCAAAGCAGTGTTTGGAATAGGCCTGGGCGTCTTTTAAAGCACTGAACAACACATGACTTTCATCTCCACTGCAAATAACATTAATGGAAGTAAATAGCAGAACTGCATAATAAATCTCTACCTGCATTTAATTCAAGTTTCAGTTGCTTTTAATTTTCCTTTGCTCCCTATTGTTTTGTATTCTTGATCATTTGGTGAGGAGCAAGGTGCAGAATGACAAGCTAGTGAAATATCGCAAAGGCTGTGCAGGAGAGGGATGATTCGATGCTCTTATCCAGTGTGGAGGCAGAAATTGATGGTCTAACACTTTTTTCCTTTTGTCTCCCCAGCGAAACCAGAATGGATACCAGTACTGCACCAGTGGCATCATGGGTACCTACCTGCCATCCCAGAACGGCCAGCCTCTGTGGATCTTGGGAGATGTGTTCCTTAGGGAGTATTACTCCGTCTATGACAGGCAGAACAACAGAGTTGGATTCGCCGCTGCTGCCTAAGCTGACCTGCCCTTCATCTCTCCTCCCTAAATCTCTCTTCCACGTGCCCAGATTACAACACATTCTCTCCCCATCTCTCCCTGTCCCTCTGGAGGTGTGAACAGCACCCTGTCCACTTTTGATAATCTCATACCTGAGACTGCGAGTCCCTTAAATACCCTTACATCATGGTGCAATGCACAGAGAACCTGCGTACTTGGAAAGGAGCAGCCGAATTCTCATGGGTTTTTGGAACAAGTCGGTGTCCTACTCTGAGTCTTTGTGATGTCCCCAATGGTACCCGCTTACCTGACAGTACTGAAGGTTGTTGTCCTGGGGATACTTTTAGAATTGTGTAGCCAATACTATGGACTTCCCACATCAGAAGTCTCCATTAGTATCCTGTGTTGATTAATTTAAATTGTTTTTAACCAAAAACAGTGTGTTGTAAAGTGTATGTGATCAATTTAATCATTCTAACATAAAATTCAGATTTCAAATGATCTATCAACTCTCTTGTAATCAGCTTTGAAGTAACTGTATAATAGGTCAGTGTAATAAATAGTTTTTCCAACTATCTCGACTAGAAGCCGTGTCCAGTTTTTACTATTTTAAGTGGGTGTGAGGGTGTCCACTTACTGAACCTGATAGTCCTCTGTGATTCAGCTTTGTGTTATGCCTAGAGTTGGCAAAATCTGAAAAAGGGAACTTAGATTTAGAAATCCCTATGCAGGAGGCCCAAAGGAAAGGGACTGTACAGTTCTATTTATTCCCACAGCTGGTGCAAATCCCTTTCACAGGTTATTTTTAGTTGTGTAAAACTGTTGTCACCTCAGTTGGCTCAAACTCAGCTGCCAATCAGAGAACATCTGCTGCTCGTTGGCACCCATCCTGTTATTTGCAAAAATTGAAAGACAGACTCTTGTTTTTTTATGTGAGGGGGGAGAGAAAAAGCACCAGGAATTCCAGGAATGAATAGAGGAGGGAGGTGTGTGGTATTTTTTCCAGATTATAAACAATGTAATTTTAAAATAAATGCAAATGCAATAACTAAGCAGATAAATGTGATTTAAGTTACTAATTGGACTAAGGATGCACTAGTGATCTCTTGACACACTGGGATCCTTTACACAATAGTCATTAGAATAATCTTGCTAACTTTAGGCCCTGTCTTTTTACTTGTGCTTATGCAGAAGAATGTGGCTTATGTCAGGGTCACTACATCACTTACAGCCCCACTGTAAGTCAGAGGTCAGAGATGAAAGACGGAACTTTAGAATCGGAGCAACTTGCAGCCATGGGCCTCTGCTCCTGCACTTGACAATTAACACCTGGCTCATTTCACTTCTCATACATGTACATTTCTAAGTCAAGCAGGGTGTCTAGCTTGCTTTAACATTGAAGGTGTTCTCCTGTGTAGGCACATGCAGAATGTGTGTTTGCCTGTGATTGTAGCCAAGTGTTTTGCTTGCCTTGGCTCAAAGCTGTGAATCCAGTAGCTATGTGCAGGGGAATGAGGGAATGGAGGCTGCAGAGGTCGCCATGCTCATAAAAGCCTAGACAGCCCTGACTGACTAATCCCACTCTTGGGAATCCCAGTCTCTTACCTGCGATCAGAACACACAACCCATGCTTGGGGAAGTGCCTGTACTTGTTGAGCCGCTGAATTACACCCAATTTATTCCACCTCCTCTAGAGTTAAAGAACACACAAGTTTATCATGGTTGTTTAACCCATAGATTGTGAAAACAACATCTGCTGTCCGTCACTGGTCCTCGGTTACCAGTTATCATCCAGAACAGCAGCTGTATGTGCTTCGTGTCAGACCCCTTTCTAATTGTAATTTTTACTCATTTTGTTAACAAAGGAGTCAGAGACAGACATATTGTGCAATTTCCACACTGGGGTTATTTAAAGCACACATTGCCATGACTGTTATCCAGCACTTCCTCCTTAGAAACCCTTTACAAATTGCTATAGGACATATATTTGCTGTTTTTTTTTTCCTTTTTTTGGAAAGATAAGACAGTGGGGGTAGCTAGTATCAGCACTCACTCCCCAACTCCTGCTCCCAGCTTGGGCACAGCCTCCTCGCAGTGCTTTCTCTGTAGACGCTCATCATGCTGCAGCTGCTCATACTCCTGGCTGTGACAACAGGCAAGTACCTCTCTATTAGCATAACCGGGCATTTCCACATAAGTGCAAATCTTTCTTGAAATATTATTTGTATTTATTCTTTCAGGATTTACTACTTTGCGATAGAGCAACAGGAGTTTCTTTTCTTTGGCAGCAGTGCACAGTTTTTGGCAAGGCCCATGTGGAGGAATGGTGTTCTAGAGTGTTGCAACATGCGCTGTAAATGGTTGTTCCCCGTTGTCATTGTAAATGACTTTTTATGGGTTTTTAATAAAGATTTGTTTAACTAAGAAACTAACCGGTTGAGGTAGAAGATATATTTATCTGGAATATTTAGAAAAAAAATTAGAATTTACTTAAATATGAAGCTAATTTATCTTGGACATCTTAAAGATATTTGCAGCTTATAAAATGCAAAAATCTAATTAAAAAATTCTTCCATATTTGTGGTGGTTTCTTAATATCATAATTTCATTTTTTAATAAAGATTTATTTTTACAATTTTGTTTGTTGCTATTCTCAAATGATTAAATAACTTTTTTTAAAGAATGAAATACCTCTTGAAAAAATAATTATATTGTAAATGAAATTATAGCCAATTGATCGACTTTGTATTTAATGAGCCACTTAAAAGCAGGTTATTTACCCTTTATAACTGTAAGGGTGGAATTGTTATTTAAAGTTGTAGAGCATTTTGCTTTGTTTTGAATGGAATGGAAAAATCAGTGAGCATTTGACTGTTTCAAGTGGAAAAAAATGGTGAGCACTGAGCGTGGAGAAATAACCACTAAAGACAAGAGACAATAGTATTTCGGTGGCAACAAACTGAGAACAATATCAGAGCAAGATGCACAGTGTCTCTTGCATCTTTTTGCATATTGTGTATTTTTCCACTTGTAATTAACACATCTCCTCTATGGTTTAGTGTTGAGAGCGTGTTAAGGGGTCCCCTGACCACATGCTGTGTGTCCGGCAGGGTGGCCCGTCAGGTGTCAGGAGGAGCAGGTGAGGGTGCATGAGAGGAGCAACTTGACCCTGTTCTGCCGCTACAACATCCCGAAGTACCGGCTGCACAAGAAGTCCTGGTGCCTCCAGCAGGGGGCAGGAGGGTTCATGCCACTTGTTGGCACTGACGGCTACTTGGCTGATAGCTACAAGGGCCGGGTGTCCATCGTGGACCTGAAGAAGAGTGGGATGGTATTAGTTAGGATGGCCGGGCTGCGGGAGAGCGACTCGGGAAACTACGGATGCGCTGCCAGGATGTTGTATGGACTGGAGGTCCTGCACAGCATTGAGCTGCAAGTCTACACTGGTGAGCCCTATGGCTTCAGCTGGTACAAATACAAACAAAAATAAAAAGAGTTGTTCTCACCAAAGAGCCCAGGTAGTGTAGGGCAACATACTGTAAATGTTTGGACCATAACATGAAATTATTATTTTTATGAAATTGTCCCTCTAAGGGCAGGGGTGTAGATTGATAGTTTCTCATCCAGCCTATTTATTTGGCAGGATTAGGGATTTCTATCTCTAAATTCTTCTCAGATGCAGGCATTTGTAGTAACATCCTGTGCCTTACACTGTGGTTGTGCTAAACTGACTCTTCATTACTGCTTGCAGATGCAGATGCACATTCGGTATCTACAGAAACCCCTGCACATGAAAGGTAAGTCACATCTTGGCTGTTGTCATTTTTACGTACAGAAGAGGCTCGGCTTTTCTTCCTACAGGATGTAAGATGATGACTAAAAACACAAAGCTATAACAACTTAAAATGCCATTAACCTTCAAACAGTTTTTACTGTCCTGATTTTTGTCCTTTAAACAGATTCCACCTTGCTGCACAGGAAATACACGGGAGCAAATCACATGGGGAGGGAGACAGACCCCTCCTGTGGGGCATCTTGCGATGGGTTTTGTTTGGAGTGATGGCATCGTGCCCAGTGCTGGTCTGCATCATTGCGCGGTCTGGGAGAGGTGAGCCTACATTAGAAGACAGATGGGGGAAAGTGGAATAGTTATGTGATATTGAAAAATGCTGATCAAATACACCTGCCTTTTTCAAATATAGTTAATAAATCTTAACAGCTATTATACAAATAATTATTATGACATAAATGCTTGGACAATAGTAGATTTTCTCACATTTATGAAACTATGTGCAGAACAAAAATCAAGGAAATCCTATATTATAGGACAGTTATTGCATACTGTAGGATAGCATACCCTCAGTATGGCAGTGTTGTGTCATACAAATGACAAAGTTCAGGTGTCTGTGAAGCAGAAGTGTCTTTATTTTATATGCATATGGAAGTCTGGCTTGCAACCACCAGACTTATATATAAGTAGCTGAAGATGGTTCTTTATACCTTAAAACAAACCAGTTACTATGACACATTCTAAAAAATGATAAGATAGCAACAAATGCCAATTAATTATATCTAAATTGCAGACTAGACAACAGTTGGTTCTTTTCACATTCTGGGCGTACAGCCAGCTTACCACATACATGCCCTTTATTTTACTGACCAAGGACAGGCAGCATCTTTATATATTTGGGCGCAAAGCCAACTTCTAGCTACTAGACTGTATAGTTTGCAAAAATATTTAGGAAAAATAACAGGAAATGATATTATTATCTCACTTCCCAGGTGTCTCTCTTATCTCTTCAGCAGTGATTATGTTAACTATTAGTACATTTAAGACTTGAGGTGCTTCAGTCTCAGTTCTATACTGCCAAATGTTTCAAATCAAAACGTGCAAAATGTAAAGGAAAGCAGGCAATCCAAAACATCAAACTACATTTTAGGCTCTGATCTCAATGGTACTTAGCCCTTCACTCAAAGGGAGTGCCTTTTTATCCTGTTTGATACTTTATCTACAATGTGTAACTCTGGTATTCTTTCTGTGTCCATTTCCTCAGAGAAAACCAGCCAGCAGCTTGTGAAGGAGGGGGTGCTTCGTGTCACGGTAATGAGATGAATTATCTGCACTGTGTTTCTGACTCACTGGCACATGACTGTGAGAGGGACTGTAGCACTGCAGTGTCACAGCTGTATAGTGGTAGAATCTCAATAAGGGAACAGAAAAAAGGAGCAACAGCAATTACAAGGCAGAGGAAATGGGTGCAATAAAATGATGTACAGCGTGTACAGAGAAATGGAATAAGAGCTCTTGCTCTGTTTTTCTGTCAGTTTTCCAGGAACCCAGAAGTAGCAGCCTCTGTCTGCACTGAGGAGGTCCAGCCGTGACCAAGAGGAGCCAGGAACAGAATGATACCTGACAGCCCTGCAGTAGCTCTTCACTCACTTTCAGCTTCCTCGAGCCACTGCTATCGACACGAATAAACAATGGACATTTCCCCCTTTGTCGAAAGGACTGAAACAAGACATTACTTGCTCCAGATCTGAGCGCCAGAAGACAGTTTCTTAAGGCCACAGGTATATAGCCTTAGGTGGTCACTTGACAGTACCCGGGATATCATCTCTATATAACCTGTATACTGTACCTTTGATTGTAATAATCAATCTGAATAGCTCTTAAGAAGCTGACTTATTATTAGCTTAGAAGCTATGTCACAACAAATTAAAATATTTTAATAAAAACATTTTTAAAATGAAGGTTCATCAGATGTCTAAATTAATCAACTGAAGTAATTAGTAAACTAATGTTTTTCATTCAGCAAATAAATCATAAACAGAAATGTATTGCAAAGACTAAACAGGGAAAGTTGTTCAAGAAAGGTACAATACTTGTACCAATGTGTAGCATTGATGGTGAAGTAAGAGACAAGATGTAAAAAGGGTTAACTTAAGTCAGTTCTGCCTGAAAATTAGACTTCTACGCAACAGGTGTTTATGGCAGGAAAGGGGGTTAACTGATAAGGATTCCAGATGCGAGCTAGGAACCCCCTGGGGGCATAATCTTAAACTGACCATTTGGCCAGGGCCTCTTAACTGGCCAAATACCATGACCCCCCCTTACCATAACACCAAATGACGTACGAAGCAGCAAGGAAGGACTATATAACTTAATAGTTTGTACCGGCACATCGAACAATACTTTGGTTTTGTTGTTTCTTGCGGGAAACAAGACTTCGGCTTTATTGTTCCTTGCATGCAATAAATTATTTTACTTCATCTTGGGATCAAGAACCTTATTCCTTCTGTTACAACAATGGGAAATGCAAAGCCAAATCAGATGATTTAGTACATCCATACAATTGGATTATTACAAAATGAACATGAGCCACTGTTATGAGAAAGTCTCTAAATATGGATGAATTAGTGTGCAAAATAGATATAAACATCTCTGAACACTTAAAAACATAAAAAAGCCCAAACTATAAAATAAATAAAATAATTTCTGAGGAATACAGAAAAAGAGAACAAAGCTTTCTTAGCTGATTTCATATTTTTTTGTTGGCACGTGGTTCCTTCTTTTGGCTGCAGGAGCAGTGATGTGTCACTGGTGTTTGTGCAGTAGGATGTACCAACATTGGAGATTTCCTTCATCATGATGTTTTAACTCTTATACAAGTTCTACAATGAAATGAGTAAAACAACAAAGAATCTAAGGGATTATTTGTGCTTAACAACATAATAGTGTACAATGTTTCTTTTTGTTCGAAGAAATTATCTATCATAAAAAACTCAATGAAATACTAAGTGTGTAGTGTACAACAAGGAGTATGTTTTACTTAGTGTTATTACAGTAAATATGTAACTTTAAGATGCTTAAAACTATAGATAATGCTGCTTTTGTACAAGAACACATTTCATATTGTATCACAGTACAGTGTATCTAGTAAGGTTGTGATTTAAAAATCATGTTTTTTTGTTGATGGTACAGTTTTCTATAACAGCAGGTTTCCAAGGAAATCCAATAGTCTGGTGTCCAAGTACCATGACACAATCCTACTTATGTCTATGGATGCCTTGTTGTGTCTTACAACATATCCCCAGATAATCTTCAAACCTTCGATGGAGGTCTGTTGTCTGGTAATTTGTCCCAACTGTTTATATTCAGTGCTAGCAGCTATCTTCATGAACATGCTTTATCAATAAACATGATGTGTAACTTGTGAAGGAAAATAAAACTATTCTTCTTGAGCTGCAGATGCAGATGGCACTATAAACCTTGATGGCACTATAATGGCACTATAATCAAGGTTTAGTTCCAAGCTGTTAGCTCTGAAAAGTGCTGCTGTTTAGTGTAACTTTAAACATAATATTGTTCCATTGTCTTAACTCATTCTGTAATATCAAACCTTCCAGGTTAACCAACTCTCAGCAGTGGCAGATGTTGACATCTGGACATCTGGAAATGAATATAGTTGGATGGGAGGGGTCAGGCAAAGTGAGAGTATTGAAGTAAAGTTTGAAACCAGCTAAAGTATTCCTATAACATATGTATTAGGTGTTAAAGTGTTGCACAGAAATGGTCTCAGAAAGCATACAGGGTATGACAGAGTGGTTATTTGGCTAACCATTTAGACCCTTTAATTTATCTCTCCTTCTTTATTTCTCTCTCTGGGGTTTTCAGGTCTCACTCACGTTCTTTTGCTGAATCATCATTTTTCACTTATTACTGTTTATGATCTGCTGTAATAAATTAAAAAATGATGTAATATTACATGAACATAAGAACAATTCCAAACTAATGTTATGATTCTTCCCATCTAGCCTGCTTGGTGGATAGTAGGTAATTGATCCAAGGATCTCGTCCAGCTTGTCAGGTGAGTCTTGAGTTTGGTATAAGTATTTTTGAATTTGCCTTTATGGAGTATTTGATTATTCTCGTATTTTGATATCATTTTGAAATTGACTAAATTGCTAATTGTACCAAAATCACCATCTCATTGTGTTTTGTAAGTTGGATCCCTGTACTGGCATCTATACCATGTACAATGCACAGTATGTCTCAGTAGTTTTCATTTCATTTCTCTCTATTGACTTATACTTCCATATGTGTTCAATATTTTATTTTAATCGGATATCAAAGTAAAATGCAAAGAAGACCGCCCAGAACCATCTAAACATTGGAGCTCAAAGTAAAGGTTCTTACTAAAAATGTAAAATAATGTTTGACTTTAACTTACATAATTACACTAATCTGCTATTAATGAATAAAACTGATGTCAGAAAACTAGCACATAGCAGGCTGTGGGTAAAAGAGCTATAACAACAATCCCACCTTCCTTAGTACCATGTCATCACCCATGTCCAATACCAACTGGAATACATAAACCAGAAAAAGGAGTCAAATTGTTACTGGGTTTGATGCCAAAATCTAAAGGGTAATACTGTATATTGCTGGGCTTGTAGTAATAAAGGAGAAGTAATTGAATTCTACATAACCATTGGACCTGCCTTACTTTTGGGTATTGTAATTTAATCCAATAGACACAGTCTCCTTTACATTTTTTAGTTTTGTGTGATTTGCACTGAAGTGTATGGGTGGTAGGGAAATCCCTTTGATGTGAACCTCCTCCTTGCTATCTGAGCAATTAGAACACAGGTTCTTACATGAATATTACAGAATGTCAGCCAAGTGTTTACTGTTTTTCTTTCTTAGTACATATCAAGCTGTATATTTTTTAGCAGAAGTTGTATAGTTAACTATGTTTGTTAGTTAATATAAAAGCCTTTGAGATGCCTCCACAGACCAGGATCCTGACCCTAGCTCTTGTCATAGCCCTGATCTGAGTGCCATCTCTTGCTGTGTGTTATGCACGGGATATCTCCAGCGGAGAGCCCAGCCCTGTGGCTGAGTGTAAGCATGTTGGCATTGGGCCTGTGGACCACAGTGTATCAAACTCTACCACAACATAGCCCAGGGGATATTAACAATGCTGCTGGATTCAATCTCCACAGATAGGAATAATACTTTAATGAAGGTTACTTCTAATATTTTGTGTTGCAAATTATAAGTCAGAGTCCTAACTGGCATGAAAATCAAAAATAAGATTCTGAAAAAAAAAATCTCCCTCCCTTTGTTCTCCTCAAACGTGCTTGTACAGTATTTATTATGCAGCAGCTGCTGTGGAACAGAGCTGTGGCGAGATGACAGGCCGAAGGCAAGAGTGGGACTCAGGGGCTCTTCGGGCTTTTCTGGAGAGACTCAGTGGGAGTGTGGCTGTGAGTGATGAACAGAGAAAGAGAAGAAGCAGGTAGGCTGATTGCTAGGCAAATGGTGTGATGAGGAAGCTGGGTGAGGACTATATAGGAAAAAAGGCTGGATACCCAGCTGGACATAAACTGCCTGGCCAATGGCAGAGGAGAGGCTGGAATCGAGACACCTCTGGAACATAGACAGAACCAGCTGGAAAAAAAGGAGAGATCAGCACCTTGAGTCTTTGGAAGGCTGGCTGTAGCTGGCCCGAATGAAAGTGAGTCTGCTGGATTGGTGCTCTGAACAAAAACACTGAGAAATTATTTTTAAGACTGCTGGATGGAGCGGATACATTCGCTCAAGTATCTCAAAGTTGGAGCAATAATTCAGCAGAGAAAGCTGCCTTAAATAGCCAGACTAATGAGTTGATTGAGAAGACGATTAGCAGCCTAATTGAAAGGCAACTAGTCTAATAGAGACATGCCCCGATCTCGTCCACACAGGGTCTGAGGAAGGCTAAATACTTGTGCGATGATTCGGGTAGCCCCAGGCAATGGCGGGATGTGAGCCACTCCCAGGTTGGGCGTAACTGTAGTATGCTGGACTTGGTCTCACACTGTTTGTGCAAACAACCTGTACAATGTGTACAGTACGTGCATTAAGGTGAATGATTAACCAACAAAGGCGTGAAAAATAAAAAGACCTCTTCAACCAAAAGCCCAATGTCTGACGTCTCTTGTTTACCCTAGTCAGATAAATGTATGGGCTGTTTTCACTTCCTGTCCCAGAATCAGATCAGTACTGTAACACAGTTGTAATTGCTAGTGTGGAAGGACCTCTCACTGAGTACTTGTGTAAAAAGCCAGTTGAAACTGGGCAACAATGGCTGAGAAAATTGTTCTACTTCTGCTGATGTCCTTGACTCTCTGTGCTGGCGTCAAAAGGTATTGTCATAATTAAATAAATATTTTATTCCTGCGGCTTCTCTTTAAAAAGCCCCTGAAAACATTCTGTATGCAGGGACAACGACTGCGCAGCTGTTCTCTGTAGACATCTCATCTAAGGATTAAGTGAAATGTGTTTTCTTGCCGTACTAAAATTTCTGATCTGGTGGATCACTGGAACATTGTGCATGATGTTTCATGATTTTTTTACACTTCCTAAAACGGGTATTAGTAGGATATATACTGACAAATGTAGAATTAATTTTAAGATTATTAGAAAATGATCGATTGCTTCCAGTAACATAATTAAGACACAGTAGACTGTGGGAAATCTGCAATCTGAAATCTATATATGGATAATAGTTTGCATGCTTTCTTCAGACTACCATGCAGAACAAAATTTAACTTTGCTTGTTGTTGTGTGCTGTGTGGACCAGGGTGGCCCTAAGTAGACACAGGTCTCAAAGGTACAGGATGAGAGCAGGGGGGATGCTGTCCCAGTTCTGGAACTCCCACCAGTTGGACATGATCCAGTACAGCAATGCTTGCCGCATTGCCTCACAGGCCAACGAGCCGCTCATCAACTACATGGATGTAAGGCTACTCGCCGATTTATAACCTAGAGCTGGAATTGTCATCTTGTCTTGCATGAAATTAAATGAGAGCAGCAATGTGATTTATTTAAGCTGAGCAGTACTATTGATTATTTAGCTGGTCAATAATTTGTCTCCTGTACTTCAATACTACCTCTGTGACATTTACATTTTATTTAATTGACCTGATTTTTCAGTGAAGCTGGGCAGCACAGACTGAACTGGCATGATGCATTGTTACTTTGTTGATGTGTACATTCTCAAGAACTTAAAATGATATTTGAACTCCCACTCTCGTTCCTTTCAGGCAGAGTATTTTGGCCAGATCACTATTGGGACCCCACCCCAGAACTTCACAGTGATTTTTGACACTGGCTCCTCCAACCTGTGGGTGCCCTCTGGCCTCTGCGACAGCAAAGCATGCAGTGAGTATTGGGGGACACAGCCAACAGGGATACCACTGCTGGCAAAGAGTAGAGATGCAGAGCTTGACAGTATTCAGGGATTCTTCACTGCTACATCAATTTGACCATTTTCAGAGTTGCAGTGAAGCAAACACTGAATAACTTGATAATTTAAGTCCACACTAGTAGCCCAGTAATGAAAGCACCATGGTACTGAAGTTACTTATTGGTTAAACATGATTTGCACTTGTCATTCACAGAGGTACACCACAGATACCATTCTTCCCAGTCTTCAACCTATCAAGTTGATGGTCGGCCCTTTTCTATACAGTATGGCACAGGAAGCCTGACTGGGATTCTGGCATTTGACCTGGTCACTGTGAGTATACAGGATGGCACCTCTGCACTCTCTGGAGCTCAGGATCTGCAAACAGTTAAATAAAAAACACATTAAAATACTTATGATTTCTTATACTTCCTTTCCTTATGAGATTGTGTGAACACCAAACAGATTCCACTCCATTTTTTGTAATTATGTTAAAAAAGTTCCAATGAATGGAAAATGTAATTTGTTCAGTTTCTTAATCATTTGTAAACAATACATCTGTGCGGGAAAGTTACATGTTTTAGCACATATAGAAAATTATGTTTTGGGTCCTGTGGTCCGAGGGGGTTTGATTTTGTGTACTAGGTTGAAGGGATAGCTGTCTCCCATCAGAAGTTTGGGGAGAGTGTAAGGGAGCCGGGCAGCACCTTTGTTGATGCCAATTTTGATGGAATTCTGGGTTTGGGATACCCGAGCATTGCGGCAGGGGGAGCCACTCCAGTGTTTGATAACATGATGGCTCAGGGCGTGGTTGAACTCCCGGTCTTCAGTGTCTACCTCAACAGGTAATGTCTGTCCCAGACCGTATCAATCAAAACAGCATTATATCTGTGTCTCTGTGTAATCACTTTTCCCATCTCACTCCACCATCCTTAACCTGCACCTTATCAACAGTTTTATTGGTTAAAACTGATCATTTTGTACAAAGTTTATTTTAATCTTTTTATAAAAGCACTTTCATTCTTTGATTTAGTCCTCTTCCTTTTATGCTGCTGTAGATATTTATTAAAAAACTTATTGTTGACAAAAAGTAAATGCTTGTAAACACCTTCACATGTTCACTCAGTGAACCGATTGGTTTTATTCTGCTTGTTGTCCAGAAACCCCGATTACTCTTCTGGGGGGGAGATACTGTTTGGGGGATTTGACCAGTCCCACTTCTCAGGGATGCTGCACTGGGTTCCTGTCACCAAACAGGGCTACTGGCAGATCCTTCTAGACAAGTAAGTCCTGCAACACAGACACTTCTTTCTCACTTCTCCCCTCCACCCCTTTTATACCTGCAATAAACTGGTAACCTTTATCTCCAGGCTGCCCAGTCATTTCTGTACTTGGCTCCTTCTCTTTCACTGTGAAACTATGTAATTCACAAAACCTTAAGCTAGCCCTTGTGGCTCTGTTCTAAACATATGAAAATAGTGTCAACTGCCTATTTAAACCTTTCTATTGAATATGTTTCTATAAATTTAAGTGGGGTTTTCACTTTAATGGGATTGTTATTGGTGACTTTAGGGAAGATCAAAAAGTCTATTCATACCAAAGGTATGCTTTAACATTTTTTTTTAGAATTCCTGTAGATAGAGTAATTCAAGTTTTAAAACTGCTGTCTTTGCCTGCCCTCACTTTTCACTGTTTTCACCTCACTGTTACTTGTTGTTAATTTGAATTGTCAGGTGTTGGTCTGTGTGCCAATAAGTTGGGATGACCTTTCCTTTTTCTTACATGTTTGTTCGGTCAAAAAGCTTTTTGAGGATTTGTACCTGAATTTGTACCTCATTTACCAGTGATGTGGCATCAGGGCCATCAAGCTACTTTCTTGTGACCACACTTTCATTGGCCAAAAGAACCTTCAACATGACTGCCATGAAATATAGCCTAGAGCAGTTTTCTCCTTCACCTGTCCAATGATGGTGTGCAAGTGAGATTATGGCTACTCCAGTGCATAGAAGGTCCTTGTGATTTGGATATATACATATTTAATTGTAGTGTGAAGGTGAATGGTCAGGTAAGATTCTGTGCAGATGGGTGCCAAGCAATCGTGGACACAGGGACGTCTCTACTGACAGGACCCACAGAGGATATCAAAGCCCTGCAGGAAGAGCTAGGAGCAACACCAGCAGGGGGTGGAATGGTAAGAGGTGTGCTCCTGGCACTTCAATAAAAAAATATTACTGTTGTCCCACTATGATCACTGTGTGACTACTAGTACTAGTTAGTAAAAAGAATAACACTACCGGTGTTCTAATACTGCTACCCAAATTACTGTGTCATTACTAGCATGCTATTAGTACTGTATTACATCTGCTTTCACTCAGTACTGTACCTCTTTCTTTACTACTAATATTACTGCTAAGGATAGTAGTTTTAAAAGTATAAGGATATGTATGAACAAACATCTTCAGTAATTACTCCTAGGATTACTGTGGGTACTAAAAGATGTTTCTTCATATTGCCTATTCTGTTTCACTATGGTTTCAAGACCCTGTGTGTGTACTGACTCTGCCTCCATCTCTTTTCCTTTTTATGTTTGGTTGAGTAGTATGCTGTAGCATGCAGCAGCCTCCCCTGGCTCCCTGACGTGACATTTACTATCAATGGTGCCGAGTTTCCTCTTACTCCTGAGGCTTACATTCAATCGGTAAGAATCAATCCAGAGAGCACATCAGCATGCAGAGTGCTGTTGGTTGGGCTGCACATGTTATATACAGAATTTTGGAAATACCAATACAATTTCAGAACTGCGAGTTGTTTTCAGATTTATCAGCATCTAGTCTTAAGCCTGGCAATGAGGTCTAGGGGGCCTGCAGGCAGACCTGACTAATACTCCTGTCTTAACTTGTTGAGCAGATTGTAACAAGTTAAAGGTTCTACCCGACTTAATTAAGCTTGTTGTTTTTGAGCAATTAATCACACCTGACTAAGTTAATTATATTTTCAAAATCTTATACAATTAGCATGCACTGAAAAGACTTTGATCCTGGAGATGTGAAAGACTACTTCATCCTTTTTACAAAATGTAGAAATTGATCTTTCTTTAGAGACTCAGAGAATGGAGGGAGACGATATGATCTACTACAATATTACTGTAGATAAAACAGTACTCATCCAGCCCAGCTCTACAGATATCTGAATGTAGTACTGATGCAATGGTTATTTAAAATGAATGATGTCCTCTGAAGCAATACTGCAATACTGTAATTCTGTTACAAACTTTTTCAGTATGGAGGTGTCTGGCTTAACCCCTTTGTTGTTCTGGTCCTGCAGGAAGAGCTAATCGGACAGGCTGTTCTATGCATGACAGGTTTTCAGGGCATGGACATCCCCCCACCAGCTGGGCCCCTCTGGATTCTGGGGGATGTTTTTATTGGCCAGTTCTACTCAGTCTTTGACAGAGGACACAACCAGGTGGGCTTGGCCAGGGCTGCTCCCTAAACCAAACAGTACCACATCATGCTGCATCAGGAGAGCTTCTTCTGTGTCTTCAAAAAAGGGTACAATATGAGATTATTTTGCAATTAGGTTAAATATTTTACCAGCTTTACCCTTTGTCACAATATTTTAATAACATATTGTCGGAAAAAACAGCTATCCAGAGTTTATTTGGCAAACAAATTACAAATTTATTGATATTAATGAACTACATCCAAAATACATTTTCTGTTCTAAAGTACTATAAAAGGCGAATGGACCCTAAACAGGACAGAGCACTGAAGATTCTGTAATTAAAGCTTCATTGTAGAAGTCTGTCTGACTGCCAAGGTAGCCAGCTGTGCTAGGTCATGTCCCACAGGCTCAGAATTAGCAGGAATTGGGCCTAAGAACGTCATACAACTGTGCCACACTTGAAAGAAAGCTGGCAGCCATCTCCAGCGTCAGAACTAAAAGCATTCTTTTTCAAGTGGCTTTTTTCCAGTACATTTGTTTCAGTGTGACCTTTTTGAAACTCACCTGAGAAATACTTAGGATGTAGATCAGTGGGTTATTAAGGACTGCCAATGCCACACTAAGCCAAACTGTTACGTGAAAAAGGCCCTTGTAATATTTAGATTGTTAAAAAGTTGTTTTCAGATTGGGGAATTTACATAGAAGCTAAGTGAAAATTAACTTTCTTTTTTATTATTACTATTTTTTAATGAAAGATTTGATTACCTACAGGAACAACATTTTTGGGAATTTGATCAAGTTTTAATAATTTTTGCTTGTGAAAGTACTTAAGTAACGTTTACTTTAGGGAGCTAGTTTCGAGCTTGTTCTGTATCTTTTCTCTAATTTGTTTTGTTCAGCTGTCTGATTTTAAAGCATTTGTAATGAATATGAAACACCCAGCTGTCTCTAAAAATCCTAGGTTGAGAAAATGATTTCCAGAGAAGGAACATAATATTCCAGATGTGTTGCTGTCTGTAAAATGATATGGTTAAGGACAGGTGCAGGAAGTGGGGGCTCAATTTACTGTAAGATCAAAACTAATCAATAATACACTGACATTGTAAAGACCCTCAATATGTAGCAATACAGAGTGCCACTAATTTATCAGCACCTGTAGGAGGATTTGTATGACATAGGAATTATTCATTTTGTAATTATTTTTTTTGGCTGTGGACTACAGTGACTGAATTTTTCACATGAGTCAACTGCTAAATAATAAAACAATAATGATGACAACAACAAAACAGAAACCTAAGGGTATGCTACTGATGCTTAAGAAGTAGCCTCTTCTTGTAGTAAATAATCTTTAAGAATAGTTTCGGTTGCAGGCAGCCAGATTTTGTCTCCTTTACATGTTTTCTGAAAAGTAATATGGAGAACAAATATGTTCTGCAGAGGAAATTGCACAAAGCATGATGAAAGAGTTTAACGTTTGTGGGCTAACAAACAAAGGGTGGCAACTGACAAGTTCAACTTTATAATTTCTTGTAACCAGTATCAGTGTACAAATCCTTATAAATAACTACTTAATCATTTCTTAGACTCAGCTAAAACTTAATTGTGAATTGCCATTAAGTTTTTTAATTATGTATTACATTAATAAAAAATTAATTCTACTATGATCATTTTGTAAAGTATTTGTCAAGGTTATGATACTGCAAATATGAAAAAAGCCAGTGTTTCTTAAATTACATCATAGGATGTACAGCAATTAAAGTTCAGACCAATGTGATGTATGGGGTAGTGAGTAAAAATGTGATGTTATCATATACCCTTTTATATTAAACTGTCTTTAATTCTCTAAATAAAATACAGAAAATTAATATAAATGTTGTCAATACATAAGATAATCATACAGTACATTTGAATGAGCTATGTTAGTAGCGATATAACTAAACTAATTTAACTCCTTTTTATAAAGTACTGTATCAGGTACAGCATGGGATTTTATGGGATTTTGCAGGTTTACTCCCACCTTTTAGTTACATGTTGGCTGTGTTATTTGGTGTCTCTAAATTATTCCTGTGTGCTTGTGTTGTGCATGTGTTCAGAGAGTGAAGGGCTGTATTGCACCCTGTATTTTCGGAACAGGCTTCAGGTTGATTCAACGTTGAGGAATAAGCACCAATATACAGTGTATGCCATGATGGACAATTTTCACATTACATTGTTTTCTGCATTTTGGGAAGGAGCTGTTAAAAAAATTCTAGAGTGTTTCAGTATCTGTTGCTCAAAATTACACAGGGTTGGCTATACCTGTGTGAACAACACTCCTGCCCGATCCTTTTTCCAATCATCATCACAGCTGATACAACTCAGCACACTGTTCAGACATGATCACCACATTCTTCAGTGCAGTTTTTTGGGAAGCCGATTCCTGTCCCATTCTGTTACCTTTAACTCACAGATTTGTCCATTTGTTAGCAGAGGTAAGAGAGAATTTGTACATGTGGTGTTTAAACAGAGTTTTCAAAGACATAAACAGAATGCTGTCCCCTTGTGGCAAAATTAGTAAACTTTTTTAAATGTTTGTTGCATGTACACTTAATAAATGAGGAAATGTTTTAGCAATAGAGAGCTTTAAACCACAAAACCCATGGCTTTTTTGTTATTTAGTGTATATTACACGCTGTATACCTTGAAATTGATCATTTCCAAAAGGGTTGATGCTGTTTTATTTCTTCTTTGTTTAAAAATGTATTTATAATATTGATTTCGTGAGGTTTACCCTTTGTGTATTATTATTTAATAATCATAATCATCATCATCATCATCATCCACCTAACAATAAGAAATGAATGAAACTGGTAATTGTTTTCATCATATATTTATGCATTTCACTGGAAATGAAGAACAAACATAGAAATAAAAATCCCATCCTAACATAGTGATTTCAGATTTGTCTTCATTGTGCCATGCTAGTGGTTTTCTGTCTTGATTGACTGTGGGCCTGGCTTGTGGGAAGACTGCCTCAGAGACAGCAGAGGGAGGGATAGAGACAGAGGGAGTGTTTATTCAGCAGCCAGCGAGGACGAAACATACAGTGCTCACAGCCCTGCACAGGAAAAGGCCTGCTGCTCTTGTGTAGTCATCGAAAGAACTGGCTCAGGATGACAGAGGGTGAAGACTGTTCTGCTCCTTGAACCTGGCCTGTAGTCATCAACCTGTAAGTACTTAAATTGTGTGTGAGAGCTTTACTCTTCACCATATTTTTCTTCTGTTTTGAAGGAATCTTTTACTGGAGTTATGCACTGGAGGCCTTTGTATATCAAGGAGTTTTCTTTTAAAGTTATGGAGGAAAGGAGGCTTTTTAAGAAATGTAACACCAAGAGAGACAAGACTGAGGTGAAGTGAAACTGAGTTGAACGTTTGCTGTGTAGTTTTATTTTACAGTGAACCTCACTGCCTGAAGTGTTAACACAGCTGTATAATCCCTCATGGGTTTATAATGAGTATTTTGGGGAAATCACTAAAACTGCTTTTTTATTTGGTTATTTTATTTATTTACAAATATTCACAAGATTCAGGTTTTGATTTTCAATACCCAGAGAACTGGGAGTGCAGGGGTCTGAGACCCCACATGAGATTATATTTTTGCTCTCTTCTAATTCTGCATTGGGTGAGTGGTTAAGAGAAAATGAAAGTTTCCTTTAGAGTGTCATTATCTCTATTTTGTTCAGCCGTCTGACAGCCTAGCAATCTACTGAACTTTACTTTACTTTATCTACTGACACAAACGAACAATAAATGAGAAACAACCTGTTTTCACTGGTATTTTGGGCACACCCAGTTACCTAGCCCTAGACTTAAAATGTTTAGGAAACAGCATCTGACTGTAATGTAGTCTCTGCATTGGTTGTCTAAAAGCGGCTGCAGAATCCAGAATTTTAATTTAACTCACTTAATTTTGTTTCAATGTAGTTTCTGGCAGAATTACACACAATTACCAGGAAATTATCTACTAGCATAATTCCCTGAACAGTGGTTCCCCAGCTATTACTCATTAAGACTGTCGAATGTCTTTCTATTCATGCAGTAGCCTGGATAGAATTGCTTCATTTCACCTACGTCATTCAGATGTCTGTCTGTAACACAGAGCTTTCAATCATGAAAAGAAATGCTATTATTTTAGCGGATGATGGAGTGTATGCTGCTAACTACCCATACTAATTTCACATTGTTCCTGGAATGTTTGTGTGAACTGGGATCTGTTCCAAACCATTGGGTGTACATTCTGTGCTTTGAATCACATTGAAAAACATAGAGAACACTTGGCAAATGCAAGTCATTTTAGACATTTTTACATCTGAGCTTGGTAGCAAGATAACTGAGGATTCCTGACCAAGTCCATGCTAGGAAAATTTTAGGATCTCTGCAATGGGTGACAAATGAAAAATGAACTGAATGCCTTTTTTAAAGGAAAGTACCAGGTAATTTATAGTTAATGAATATTATTCCTATTTCTGTTGTCTGTTATGGTGTCTAACAGAGGACAATGGCAAATATTGATAAGACGTCAATCTGCAGCTTGTGTGCTATTACTGACAATGGGAGCACTTTCTTCTTGTTGAGCTCTGTGACAGAAGAACCGTTGAAATTTAATCTCTATTGCTAAATCCATGTGAAAGGGATGAAATGCAATGCACAAGTTCAGCTTATTCCAGCAAAACTGGATATGTCAATAAATGAGAGTGAAGTGTTCAGCACAGAAAATTCTGTTGGTACTTCCCCAATACTTTCCCCAATGCTGTTCAGTTTATTGGCTTGTATGAGTCAGTATGAGTCATTGTGCCTGTTGTTTAACATACTGTACCATAGGTATGGCAACCATTGTAAACAGCCTCAGTTTTTGTGTCCTCCAATTAAAATGTGCCTGGGTGTTGTTTCAAAGTATCATTTGGGAACTGAATCAGCAAAACTTAAAAACATGTGAGAAGCATGGGGTTTTGAAGCATTTCTATATCATTATGTGGGCAGTGGGACATAGACATACAGAAAGGTCAGACAGCAGGTTGCTCATTGTGATTTGTACTCTTAACTGTTTGCTGCTGGTTTGGTCCTAATGCAATGTCCCATGGCATATCTACAATATTCTCCAAGGTATTTATGTTTGCATTGCTGTTTTGTTCTGTGTTAAGTGGTTTGCATTGCAGAAGAATGTCTTCACACAGAGCAGAATCACGGATGCCAATGGTATTACAATTTTAAAGTCCTGTTTTTGTGCTGTGTTCGACCTCTTTTCTGGAATGAGAGATTGCATCTGCAACACACCCTTTATTCACAAAAAGAAACCTATCTAAGGCCACCGAATTAAACAGATCCAACCTGTATCCAAACAGCTGAATTGACTTTCTTCAGTGAGTTTTCCTTTTGTTTCTAAATACAGCATACAGAATTAACAAATATTTTGTATGCATAAATTACAGTACTCATTTTTAAACTTTAACTATAGAACTGTTTAACATCACGTGTTTATACAAATGTCTAAAGTTGTAGTGACAGTTGAAGCCTCATGCATTATCATCTTCACCCAGGCTACCTTGATGAAGCAAGTGGAACTGAAGATCATCATCCTAGGAGCTCTTGGGTAAAACAGACTTGACTGTTCATCTCTCCTGCCTAATTATTATGATTTTTTCCCCCACAAATCATCCATAGCTTTAGACAAAGAAAACTAAATAGAGGGTTGTTGTCCTTACACTTTCAGTATCTGCTTCCTGCTGATTTGCTGTTTCAGATTGGAACCAATATGAGCTCACATGGAAATTCCTTCAACTTTCCTAGAGTACACCTCTGGGTGTTATAGATTTCCCAGCTTTTTTTAGTGTGCTGCTCCTGTGAGATCTATTTGTCTGTTAAGTGTTATTTTACTCCTGAATACAGTGTGGGAAAGACATCATTGCTACACCAGTATATCCATCAACAATTTCATGAGGATTACCGCAGCACACTGGGAGCCAGCGTACTATCCAAGAACATTACAGTGGACAGGAGTGCTGTCAAGTTGCAGGTGAGATGGGTGTGTATGACAGGTTTTATCTTGTAAAAGACGTGCGGTGAAAAGCTTGCAAAATACCTTGTGACAGCCTTTTCATTTTATGAGAAAGAAAAGCTCTGTCAGTGCTAAAACTGCAAAACCATGGAAAACGAAGTGAAATTCTGCTCTGCAGGGCACATTGGATGGTGAATCATCTCCAACTGTGTTGATTGCAGTTTTCAGTTTCAAAGCAAATTGTCATATCTTAATGTACTGCTAAAGCACAATTTAGTTTTTTTATTCTTATACTTTAGTTTACATCTGTATAGGATCCTTTTTGTCTTTATTCATGGACATAACACAACTTACTTATAAAGTACCTGTACCTGTAGTCTGTACCTCTGTGTTAACATTGCAAGACTGTACTTGCAACCCATTAACTAATTCTAATACTGTTTATTATAAAAAATATATGCCATGTACAAATCAACTTGTTTATATTTCTTTAGTTGTGCAACCTCACAAGAATACAGATGACAAATGCTATAAACAAATATCAAAATAAGGAGTACAACAAAGTTGGAACAAATATGGATAACATGCTGTGACTCGGGGTTTGTACAGATAAGGCTTCAGATTGCCCACAAAATTCAGTGACCATGGCTGTCTCTCCTCCAGATCTGGGACACTGGAGGGCAGGAGAGATTCCGCGCAGTAGTGTCCTCTTTCTACAAGGGGGCGGATGGCTGTGTTCTGGTCTTCGATGTCACTGACAGGGATTCTTTCCTGGAACTGGAGGGCTGGAGGCAAGACATCCTGGAGAAGAGTCATCCCCCTGACCCCAGCCTACCTTTTGTGGTGCTAGGAAACAAGATTGACATGGAAGAGAGACAGGTAGGAGCTGCAGGAATTTAGCAAATTGGAGCAAGTTTGTAGATAAAAGGGGTAACTGAGCAATCAGTGACCTATGATGTCTGGAAAAATGGAAAGAGAAATGGCTTTGTAAATCAGGTTTTGATTTGTGCCTCCTTATTCAAAAATCTCAAAATTTAATTGCAGTAAAGCCTGCTTAAGGAAATAAGTTTGACAAATTGTCTCTATACAGGTGACCAGAAGTGAGGCTTTGTCATGGTGTGAGGACAGACACATCCCATGCCTGGAGGTCAGTGCCAAGAACAACATCAATGTGGAGCAGGCCTTCCAGACACTGGCAAAGCATGCACTTATCAAGGTTAGATGCTCCTTTGTCATAAGGATCAAAAATAACTGAGCATCAAGAACTCTAAAGGGGATGTTTTTCACTTTTTATGGCCTTTGAAAATTCTAAATGTATGTAAATTTTAGGCCTTCACAGTTTAAAACCCTAATTCTTATAGTGCCACAAAGACTGCTGGGTGAGCACCACCTGCTGGCCCCACTAACACCTCTTCCAGCAGCAACCTTAGTTTTTCCCAGATGGTCTCCCATCCAGGTACTGACTAGGCTCACACCTGCTTAGCTTCAGTGGGTTACCAGTTGTGAGTTGCAGGGTGATAGGGTTGCTGGCATTTTTGCTGCATTATTTAAGGACACACAATTAATGATGTTATTCTTACACCAAAAATGTATTTGAATAACGTGCCTCGCTAAAGCACATGGAATTTTAAAGTCATAAAACAGCAAAAAGTAAATTAATCGTACCTCAGACAAGTGCTGTACTAATCTGAACATTTCATGGTCTTTAGTTAATAGATAAAAATTTCCTTGCTCAGTTCAGTTCAGTTTATTGTCATATATACAAGTGCAATGAAATGATTATTTGCATGTATGCTCTGATACAAAGACATTAAGGAAACACCAAAAACATAAATACAAAACAGCAGCAGCAATGACAACAAGTTAAAAAACATACATATTAGAAAAAAAAACACATCAGTGTGAGCCAGTGGTGGGGTAGAGTTCAATAATCTGGCTACTATATCGCTTACCGGTGGAAAGGGGGGAGAAAAATGAGAAAGCAGGATGACTGGTATCCTGAGCAATACTTCCAGCCTTCCTTAGACAGCAAATTGTAAAAATGTCTGAAATAGAGGGGAGCTATACTCCAATGATGGACTGGGCTGACCTGATCACCCCCATAATGCCTTCCGGTCAGATAAGGAGCTGCTGTCAAACTACTCTGTAATACCACATGTGAGCACACTCTCAATAGTGCACCTGTAAAATGTGGTAAGGACAGTTGAAGATAGACCAATTTTTTTTCAACTGTCTGAGCAAGTAAAGGCTCTGTTATGCCTTTTTTGTAGCTCCAGTTACATGCTGGGACCACGTTAAATCATTAGTGATGAAGGTACCCAGGAACTTGAAACTGTTAAGCATCTCAACAGCCACCCTATTGATGTGAACAGGGGTGTGGTTCCCACCCTGCTTTCTAAAATTGATTACCTGCTCCTTGGTTTTGCTGACATTGAGGAAGAGATTATTGTCAAGGCACCACTCCACCAGGCTCCTGACCTCATCCCTGTAGGCTGTCTCATCCTTAGCAGTGATTCGGCAGTGATGATGGTAGTATCGTCAGCATATTTGTAGATGGAATTTGGAGCTGTGTCTGGCCACACAATCATTGGTAAACAAGGGGAACAGCAGGGGACTAAGCACACAGCCCTGAGGGGCATCTATATTGATGGTCATTGTGGAAGAAAGTATTCCATCTACCCTCACAGTCTGTGGTCTGCCAGTCAGGAAAACCGGGACCTGTTACACCAGCATGCAAACTGCAGGGGGTCTAAGCACTCAGGCACTATTGTGTTAATGTGTCTCATGACCAGCTTTTCAAAGCATTTCATTACAGTGGATGCGAGTGCTACCGGTCTATCATTAAAACAGGTCACAGTATTTTTCTTTGGCACTGGAATAATGGTAGTTTTTTTAAAACTCACGGGAACGGAGGATTGTAAAAATTAAATATTAAAAATATCTGTAAAACCTTTGGCCAACTGGTCTGCACAGGACTGATGGAATCCGTTCTGAAACGCTGTCCGGGCTGGTCGCCATTCCATGTGTTCATCCATCTGAATGTTGCCCTGACTTCAGCCTCCGTGACAAACAGGGCTGGACCATCGGTGGCCGGGAGCACCGGCGCTGACGGTTCTGTGATTTCCTTCTCAGACCAAGCGTAATAGGCGTTCAGCTCCTCTGGGAGAGAGAAATCACTGTCAGTGGATGTAACACTGCTTATTTTGGTTTTATGGTTTGTTATTGTCTGAATATCCCGCCACATTTGCACACATCTGCAGAGGCAGCCTGTAGTTCTATCTTGTTGCGGTATTGCCTTTTAGCATCCCCGATAGCGTCCCTGATAGCTCAGATAAATGACTGATCTGTTTAGTTAGCATCTTTGATCCACTGTATGCAGATGAACATACAGTAGATCTGTAAAAATCAGTAAGTGGAGCTTTACTAAAACACTTCATGCTCAGATTAACTATTTTGGGAGCTTGTCTCCAGTCAGTGGCTCAGAAATGGTACATGACTTGCCATTGAATGGTAAAGCAAGGAATAACTAACTTATATAGGGTAAATATACTGAAAAGTTTTATCTGTTCAAGTGCTTATTCTGACCATTCACATGAGATGAAACAATAGCTGATGATGCAATTCTATCAACATACTAGTATTCTATAAACAGAGTCAAGGTTCTACTATTGGGGAGTTTGTACCCTCAAATTACTCATTGATGGACTATACCAGGAACTTAGTCCTCCACTAAAAAGTCATGGCTTTTTGACTATGACCATTTTGACTATAGATACTTAGTCATAAAAGCATGTCATATCAATTATATAATTGTTAGAATATTGATTAAAATGTAAAGATTTAAAATAAAGCTTACAATGATTGTCACTACTTTATTTGGTAATTCTTCCCAGTCTATATGCATTGTTTATAATCTAAATGTTTTGAATCCAGTAATATTTTCAAGCAAAAATGTTTCAAAAGGCTTGGCACCCAGACAAATGGACAAATTGACAAATTTTTGGAATTGAGAAGTTTTGTTTTAAATAACTTTCTTTTCTTTCTGGCAGTACAAAGAAGGGCTAATGAGCTGCATGACAGACTCCATCAAACTGAAGCCAGACAAGGTAGTGAAGAAGAATAAAAAATGCTGCTCATAGGACAGGCTGCACTGCAACTGTATTTAGACACCACTACTCATGTTGGAGGTGCTATCTAAGTGGACTACATAAGTTTGACTTGGAGTCAGAAGAAGTGTTTTTGATGTTGAGAGCATTTTGCACAAAAATGACTGAATTTGGATCAGACGGTATGTTCTGTCACAAAACTCCAGCTCTCAAAACAGAACTAAGGATTACATAACTCAATTCAAATCTTGAATATTCACTGGCATTGTATTAAAGATTGCATGTAAGCACTACCCTCTAAAATATATTTGAGGACCCACAAATATTAAAAACCACCTAAAAGATAATTCTGCTATAACTTTGTCTATACATTTGATAGTATTTTGCTGTTTTTATATATTGTTTTGCCTGGACTCTTTGGAAGTCATATCAAAATGGACCATGTGACCATGAAATTCCCAAGGCAAAGATCCCGTGTTTTTAATGTACAGTAATATGGCAACACGTATATAAATATGTAAGATCACATTTTTTTCTGAAGTAAACAGAAAATTCCTTTGTTTTACATTGCAACCTCAGGATTCTTGTGGAGAATGTTTACATCAATACACAGATCACTGATATAATGTATCAGATCTATAAAACATGCCTTACATAAAATATGATAAAACTTAATTAAAAGCCCTCCCAAGAAACATTATTACTCAAATGTATTGAAGGTATTCAAAGGTATTTATTCAAAACATAAGGGTCATCAGTTCCAGCTGATGTGCCTGCAATCAAACCACTAAATGGGCCTTGATCAGTGTGAGGTTGGCTGATTAGAATGGTGAAGGTAGTACCTGCTTCACCTTCTAGACAACTAAATGGCAATAGGTACCAGCCAGCATGTACCACCCGGCCTATTTGTTGTGATTCCATGTGTAGCAGGAACCACCCTACCGCATTCTATAGTCTGATTCACTTAAAAGAATTATAGGATCAGGATCAGGCTTTAAATATATGACAATAATCATTGGTATTAGATTGTTGTCACAAAACAAAACAGGAAGGCCCAAGCAATTTGCAGATTGCTAGTTTTTCCACGACTTCCCCCCCAAGGGATAGTATAGCAAGAAGAAAATGTGACTTTGAAAGAGCCACATTTTCCCAACAGGAGGCAATTAAATCAGCTCCCTGTTTTGTCGATGCTTCTGTACAGTAGGATGTAGTACCAGAAAAGATTTTCTGTACATATTGAACTGATAAAATTTTGATAAACTGAATCTTGTTGAAAGTGATTTCTAGGACTTCTTACGGGAAAATGGTTTGAAATTGTTTGTCTCTATACATAACAAAAGTGTGGGGTTAAAAAAAGTATAAAAAAGTTGAAACACTTTAAATTGTTTAAAGTTTAAATTGCCTCCTATAATCAGGAATGAAGTCTTTCCAAGGGGATCAAATGGTTTCTTTTTTTTCTCAGAAAATATGTATAAAAAAGTAAGACACCCAGGACACATATCAAGAAAATACTAACAGGCTAAAATTTACATCTAAAGAGATGCGTCTATCCTTCTCTGCCAGATCTCTAATATCGAGCAGCTTAATGCATTTAGAAATTGATTTACAGTAAATACTTATTAGGGTAAGTAGAACTGTTTTCAAAAACTAAATAATCTGTGGTTCACATTCATTTGTGAGCATTCATTTAGAGAGGGAGAATTAGTCCTGGCCAAGATCCTTATAGCTTCTATAAAAGTATGGATAAAATGCCCCTTTAAAATCAGGAATGAAATCTAACTAAGTGGATCATTATATAATTAACAAGTAATAGGTTTATTCCATGCTGAAAAGAGAAGAAAGAAAACGACGTTTCGGTCGTGGAGCCTTCTTTAGCCGTCTTCTCCATGGCCGAAATGTTGCGTTTTCTTTCTTCTCTTTTCAGCATGAAATAAACCTACTACTTGTTCCTTTGCAGCCTACGCATGCTGATGCAGCCATCCACCTGAACTACTTCATTATATAATGTATAATGTTTATAGTGTAGGTGCATAATTCTGTATGGGTTTTCTATCTGCAAAAGGCAGGGCTTTCATTTTTTACAGACTTGTAAATATCTGTATAATAGTTTAACCATTCTGTTGAGTTGTTGAATTTGTTAGTCCTGTATAAATTTACCTCCTTTGTCATTACTTATTTCAGGTTGTGCTATAGAATAAAAAAAAATATGCTGTGTAAAACTGGGAAATCGTTGACTTCAGACTGTGAAATTATTCTTAATCTTTATAATTTGCTGGCAAAGTCAGCTGGTGTCAGAACCTGATTGTGAAATTGATTTGAAAGACCAGGAACTGGAAAAGAATAATTTACCTGAAACTATAATCAGGAATGTACTATAATAGCAAAGGATAAAGTAAAATGCATCAATGCTTTTAAAGGGAATCTTCCAGATACTGTAAAGAATACAACACCCTTCAGGTAGCAGAAAGGCAATACTCTGTATTAAACAGCATTATCATAATTGAATCAAGCATTAGTGGAGGTAGAATAACTTACATTTCCAGGTTTTAATTCATATTTTCCAACTATAGTAAAGGAAACAGATGCTTTTCATAGGCCATATAAAATATTCACCAGCCAAGCAAAACAAGTAATTGGGAAATGGTAAAGAACGTTCTAATGTAGAATCCATTCTTACATACATACAGTACATACTGTATGGTTAAAGCTCAACCAAGTAATTATATAACAATATTTACTACAAATAGGATTATGTAAATGTATAGAATGAAGAACAAAGGTTACTAACAAGATTAGACCATTTGCATAATCTAGACTGTTGGGTAGTTAGTAGCTAATTGATCCAAGGATCTCATTTGGCTTTTAAAAGAAGCCTGGGTGTCTGCTTCAATGTGGCTGGGTAGCTTGTTTGAAATCCATCAATCTTTAGCAGAAATACGTATCCTGCTCTTGTGTAATTAAGAATCCTGATTGATCTCAGGGTCAAGTATGCAACAGTGGTCACCTGACCCCTGTATGCTGCAATGGTCAAATGAGCTGTGGGACACAGCAGAAGTCTCCAGATGCAACCCAGCACACAGCAGAGGTCACTTGGCCCCGCTCTGCTGGGGAGGTCACATGACCACGGATGACGCAGCAGAGATCACCTGGCCCCTGTGATACAGGTCTCTTAACCCCCTGGGATGCAGAAGAGGAAAAGAAGAGATGGAGAGGCTCAAAGTACCACCACTACTGTACCTCGCAGGTGCAACAGCAAATCTCAGTGTGTCAAACCACATAACACTGCGAAACAGCCTATCTTACCATGCCAAGCTAGCTCACTGGTAACACAATATATCTCAGCATGTGAAACCAAAGCTCTTTATTCTAAACATGTTTACTAAATTATGTAATAAGTTTTATTTGAAGTTGAAACATCTTGCAAACAAAGCAACTGGTTATTGATTTTAGGAAAAATCTAACACTCCTTAATTGTACTGTAATTAAAGGACAGAGTGTAGACACTGTCAAGGAGTAAAAGTACTAGAGATTGGCCATAGATAAAAGCCTAAGATGGTACTAATGTGATACCATTTATAAACAGTTTTTTTAAAAAAAGCTCAGATACTGCTATTTTCTTGTTTTTCTATAAGTCAGTTATTGACAGTGTCTAACATATTGTCTCACTTGTTGGTCTGGCAACATCAGTACCATGAGCTGAAAAAGGTTGGGAAAGTTAGTAAAAATAAGCAGCTAAATAATTGGGGCAAATCAGATAAACTTTAAATACCCTTTACGAACAAAAGGATTTATAGAAGATCAAGAGCATTATGGAGTGTGTCTCACCCCCTCCATTTTTAATGTACACATCTGGGAAATACCTCTGTGCCCCCAAGTTTAAAAGTAAAACACTCAGGAAATCTTTCGTTCATGGAATACAAGGCCCTGGACACATCCAAGACTTCTGGGTTTGAGGGAAGTTGGATCTGCTGTATATATCAGAAGTGATGAGTCTGGGAGCCTCTGAATACTGACCCTCTACGTTTTATTTTGCAGATGCATTTCCCCTCTCTCTGCCTCTATAAATAGGGGTCCCTTCACTTTCCTCTTGCACCTAGCCCCCAAACTGAGCAGTTTCAGTTATTTCTGTCTTCCTTCTTTGCCTTCTACCTGCCCCTGGTACCTCAGTGACTAGCACACCCATGTAGCAGAAAAGGACAATAAAACTAGTAAGCTGCAGGTCCAGTCTCCTGCTTCTCTTAATACACTGCCTGTCTTAATACACTACTGTAAGGGTAAACTAGTGGGGATTGCTACAGTCTTATATATTGTGGCCTTCCGCTTCCCCCGGAGTTATGGACTGTGTTGCTGCCCCATTGGAAACTGTGCTCTCTTGTTCTCTCTTTCTGCTGCCACACTCAAATTCAAACAGCTATTTGAGCATGACCAAGGAATTACAGTGTTCCCAAAGCATATGTAATTAATTCAACATGTAGAATATTTACATACATTATACAACACAGGAAAAATGTTTAATTTATCCCAGATTATTTCACACAGTGCATTCTCTCTCTTTGCTTGTCCCTGCTGGCAGTGGGAGCAGAGACTGTCTTCCCTAGGCAGTCAGGTCTTCTTGTGCTGCCCAGTTTCTATGGGCAGATTTTGGTCACCGAGCCTGTGCATTGTTAGAGTCCTTTTGCTTTTCTTATCCTTTTTTTAGCTGTGCTGTCCTGAGGCTGGTTGTGAGTGAGCTTCAGGACCAGGTGGCTGAGTTTCCTCTTCTCTGGGCATAATTCTTGGCTTAGCAAGCCTTATAATGGTAGGAATTTTGGTCGATGTTTTTGAGGTGAAACAAATATTTTGATTTTCTTTTCTTTTCTGTATGTTGATAAGTAATGGGTGGTGACTTGATTCAAGCCCTGCATGCATTGTTAGGAGTTTTTCTCTACATATGGAGAATGCTTTTACAGAATTCTGTGTACAGAATGGGTGTTTATGGGGTGTTTATTCCATTTAGTACAATCCTGGTCTGATATTGGACCCCACAGTTCATGACTATGTAGAGAAATGGGTTGGATTAAACTTTTAAATATTCCCAGACAAATTTTTATGGGGAGGCTGATGTTGTAGAAACTCATTCTAATAGCACAGAAAGCCCCGGGCAACTTCTTTTTCAGTGATAGGTAAAAAAATACCAGATGAACTGATTGTCATACCCAGGTACAATACGTGTAGCTTGTTGTTGCTCAGTATAAAGTGATTTATGTTTCCCATATTTTACATACTTTCCCATATTCCCTGGGACACCAGACACTACAAGTACTTTCTTCCTGGTAAGAGCACACTTCTGTAACTAAAAGAGCAATAAATCCTTTGCCATTGTGAAGCTGCAGACCTGTCTCCTTCCTATTTGCCGCCAGGTTTGAGACAATTCACCACAACATTCTTAGATTGTTATTTTTTGTAATATTGTGCTAGCAATGTAATATTAAGCTGTATTATATTAATATAGTTAATACTTACCGTAACGTAATACAGTTCAACCACAGTATGAATGGGAACTTTCAGAAATCCAAGTACGTCCTGCTTCAAAACAAATAAAAAGGGCAGGTTGATAAAGAGGTGTGTATATAACTGGATGTAATATTTATTGCATCTCCTAGTGCCATCTAAGCAGGAGTTGTGAAATGCGAAAATAATCCACATATACAGAATATGTGAAACTCACCAGGTGTTGGATTTTGACATGTTCCCCAATCCTAAAAGTATGAGTGTGAAACAATCAAACCCATTGATAAAAGCTCTTGTAAATGGATTAGATTCAACAATGCTTGCTTACAACTTTTCATCCGACTGACTCCGTTTTGGGATACAAATACTGAGTGGTGCACCGTGCCTTCCAAGCACCAAAAAATCTCCAAAAAAATGTTTTCAGATAAGAGCAAAAAATCACTTGACCTATATCTTGCTTGTGCTGCAAAATCCAGCACTGAACTTAAAAATTGTATAAGTAAGTGAATGCTAATCCTAACCCTAGCTGGGGTGTCAACTAAGCAGTTCCGCAGTCCATATCTGAACCTCACAAGGCATTGGAATTTGACATGTTCCCCAAACCTAGAAGTATGAGCATCAAACATTCAGAACCATTGATAAAAGCTCTTGTAAATGTATTAGATTAAATAAAGCTTGCATACAACTACTGATCTGACCAATTCAGTTTTGGGATACTATTACAAAGCGGTGCACTGTGCCTTCCAAACACCAAAAAATCTCAGTTAGGAGTCTC